CAGCTAATGAGCCTAATTCGACATACTCTGTTCAACCGCCCAACAAAATATAAACCAATTATCTTTCACACTTAATTCCATGACGTTCCATTCATAATTCCATTTTAAATTCGATATCGATAAAAAATCTCAATTTCACTGAATAAAATCGATGTCGAAGAATAAATTCTCTTTCTTGCCGATGATTATGGCAATTCTGGAATTTTAACGTCTAAATGAATTAGTTATCCAGGGCAATGTGGATGCAAAAATTGTTGATAGTTTCAACAGAAGGTAGTGAATTTTTAGCAGTGATTATTGTGGCATTTCTCGACAACTATTCGTCATGTATAACGAGACTCGTTATCACAGTCCACTGAGAAAAGTCTAAACTCGGTGTAAACTGGGGCGTGTAATACTCGTTGCATTCCTCGAATGACTGTGACCACAGTCAAAACTAAATCCCAGACTGGCTTAACGAGCATTTTATATGCTTCTCGGCGTAAAACTCTTCATATGGAGGGAAAAAAAAGTTGTATTGACGGATCAAAGGGAGGTAAAATTAACCGAATTTTTTTTTGCACTGCGGTTGAAGATGGGGGAGGTGCAGCTTTTTCCATTTTTGCAGGTAATTTTTGAAGATTAAAGAGCGTTTGAGGTTACCGGGTAGTGAATTACTGGAGGATTTACATTAAATCAGAATTTATTTTTCTCACAAAACCGGAGCGCATTTTACTAGCCGCAAAAAGTCATTTCTTTGGAAATTCAATGAGTGAGCAACAAAGTAAGAGCGAAGTCTATTTGCTGGACTGGTGAATTTTTTTTTCATTTTATGTTACTGTTTCGGGTTGAAAGGTGATGGATGGATAAAAAATGTGGTGAATTTTAAAACACAATAATAAGAATTAAATATCGAGTGGAAGAAGTCAGGTGCATATCAAAGAAATGGGGAAATTTTCATCGTAACACAAATTTTTCGATTTTCGATTCGACTGGACTTGACACTTGACGTTTGACGTTTGAAGGACTAGGTTGGATCCAATAACACAAGTGGTGATATAAAGTACGGGTGAATATGCCCAATGGCAAAGCAGACTGATAGCCAATATTCACCTCTTTCCGTGTCACCACCTATTCCTGACAAAATTTCGTCACGCAAAATGGGAACACAGGTTATTGCGAGTCCCTCGATTTGTGTATCGCCCTTGGGCAGGGGTTAGGATTGGTTGAAATACACACGGAAACGTTCGACAGGATATCTCTCTGTGACAAGACTCAACCACATCGTTTGTCCAGCGGCTGTGACCGCCCAACCGAGAGACCGATGCGTCCATTCAGATGGCGCCAATCCTGTCACAGACCGATGAATGAAGAAACCCATCTCCATCACAGAAATTACAGAAATTCTATTCCAACACTGAGAAACCCAAATATTTTACTCCATCGGGGATTTCATCAAATCACCTCAAATCGTTCAATTTGTTTTATCTGATTTGAGTCACTGAGACATCTAATCCGATTTTTTTTTATCATTTTTGAAAACGCGTTACGCAATTATGCAATAAATTGGGAGAATCTCTCTATCTTCCCGGAATAAACAAACTCGATTCGTTTCTATCAATGATCACCCAATTGATTGGAATTTCCCAGCAATATCCAAGTCAAGGCCTGATTGATTTCACTCCTCTCCGAGTGGTAACTCCGTAACACAAATCGATTCCTCGATTTCTCGGTACTAATTGGAAGTCGTTTTCAAGTGGTGACTTCATTCACCCCTTCCTCACTCATTCTTTTTTTTTTCCTCTCCTCTTTTCTCTTCATTTCCACCATTAGTGTGGTTTACACTCCTCCTCGATTTATTGATTGCATTCCGATCACTCCATCGTATCTTGAGACATCGGGGTGTATAATTTCCGGGTGTCGTTAACGATTTTCTCAATGTTCCTAGAAAGTATTGAGTCGCTCGGTGTCTCGGGAAAAGCGCGAGATGAAAAATGATATCGAATGATTGGGAAACGATTGCGTCTCGTTGAAATCACCGTGAAATATGATCATTAAAAGTTGCAATGACATACCGCAGAACAGAAATAAAAAATTCTGCAGGAAAAATATTTCGCTTCTATCAACTTTCAATCCTAATCATTTTCACTCAATTTTTCGACTTGATTCAACTGAAATTTTCCACCAATTATCCTTGACATGGAGAAAAAATTTACCGAAAAAAAATTCGTGGATGCAACGAAATGTTCGAATTCCATAGGAATTAATATGGAACATTGTGATCAGCGCCCGTCATAATGCACCATAATAAGAGATGGTCCAACCAATCGACAATTTCATTAGAAAAGGGAGAATTGGGAAAATTGGCGAGGGAAATTATGGACGTTTGTCTAACAATTACTGAAAATTTGAGAAACCCCTGGCGATGTACGATATTCGTTCTCACCAGGCAAAATTCCCCGCGGTGGGAGGAGTGCATCGCCAACTCCGCCCACCGGAAACGTTATACCGTAATTAATAATCCATTTTGGCCCTTTTTACCAACTAGACGCGTCCCACTCTATCTCTATCCCTTTCTCTCTCTATGGTTAGTTGCTTCTGCTTCCGGATAATTTATTACCGTCCACCAACTGCACCGTATTATACTGTAACCACTACTGAATTTTTATTTATTTTTATTTTTCATGAATTGAATTTTTTGTGGGGGATTTATTTCTGATATTCGGGGACCTGGGGAATTGTCCGGGCATTTTTTCATTTTATATGCGGTAAAAATTCGGGCGGAGGGAATTCTTTTTTTTTCTTTCAATTTTCACAATAGAGAAATGAGGGGATGGTGGGGAGGAGATGAAATTGTTGTGGAGATTTTCGCCTATTTTTCTGGGATTATGGAAATAATGGAATAATTTCATTTTCATTTTTTTCATCGTCAAGACTCGCTTTATCATTCTGGAATCGTTGACACTGGCGAATCACCATTTTCATTCTGCCCAGACGCAGACCGACAAAAAGTCGGTGGAAACATATTCTTGAAGAATGTATAAAAAAAATGAGGAAAGTTTGTCGTCGAGGCGAGGGGATATCGTTGAGAAAAACGATACAAGAAATTGAGGGTGTGAGGAATAGCTCTTAAGAACCAACTGGATTTTTTATGTTAATGAGTCCTTTCAAATGCAAGACGGGCACTAAAAACACTAATTGTGGAATAATTCTTCCAAAACAATTCGTGTTATTCATCGGTCATTAAATTCCGTCTCAGTGCAATTGATTTCGATTTAAAAGAGGAAAGTAATTACACTTCAAGGGTCATTAGAAATTCAAAATGTTTTTCAATTTTCCGCGATCAGATGAAGAGAACATAAATATTCATTTTCCTATACATTTTCCGAAATCTCCGCACCTGGAATTCCCCTCGAATTCTCTTGTTGACCGTCCAATTAATTAATCAATCAATCGATCCATACCGAAGACTCATTGTCAAAGGATTACATAATTACAACTATATCAATACCCATTATATAAATCAATTAACTTAATCAACTAGTCGAGTAATTCCTGTATCGATCGTCGAATAATTGAACAATCCTGTTGCAAAGCCATAAACTACTTTAAGCGCATTTCTTCCCTAACGAGTTATCGATAAATTACTTGGAACGGAAAATCGATAGCGACATTTTCATGAAAACCTTTTTTTTAGTTCTAACTTTCATGCAAAAAAATGTTCATACAAAAAAAATCGTATCTCCGTCCAATTTTGAAGTATCATTAAAAACCTGCACGTGTCTCGTTTTGCCACTTCGCCACTGAACTAGTCGATTAGTTTATGGATCGAATAATTCTATAATTACAATTATGCGATAATTCCCCAGTCGATGCCCGAGGTAATTGACTAATTAATGAATTTGACGATTAACGAGCGGGAAAAATGAGGCGGTCAGTGGGTCGCATTTATGAGCGGTTAGTTGTACTGAGGCATGTGGCAAGGGGGGCGGTTCGAGGGAAAGAATAATTAGTAGATGTCGAGTGTACCAAGAGAAAGTGCCATGGGGTGGCTTAGGGGGTGGAAAGGGGCGAGAGCTGGTGGGGTGGATGGGTTGAGAAGGGGCAAGTGAGGCTAACCACCCTCGTGGGGACTCTGAAGCCAGTGGTAAGGTAGATTAGCGGTTGGACGTAACCATTAAGTGGCCCTTCACCCCCTATAAGGGGGGAGGGATTACACTTTGTTTCAGAAAATCCATTCCTGCTGGTGGACATGAGTATATCCCTCACGACCAAAATTTTATACAAAAAAAATGTACTCCGATGATAGATTTTACTCCTGATTTTAGTACACATCATTTTCAATGCTATATCGATAAAAAATTGATATTCTCACGATTCTTATATCTGTGGATTGATTGAATAATACAAAACCGTTGAATTTAATGTGTGAACTCGAAATTTTCAATTCTGGAAAATTGGCGATTGTGTGATTTGATCTTGAGGCCCTATTTAAAAAAAATAAAGATCGTCTCCGAGAACCGAATTGTACCAGAATATCCTCGCGACGGCTTTCGGCGATTAATCGCCCAGAAAATTCCGAATAATCTCGACCCGCCACCTTCCCACCCCCACAATTGAAGGAATTACTCCAGTATCGGGTAATTCACTACTCGCATCAATGATCAGTCATGGAAAATTACATTAACGAGCTTACGGGATAATCGCAGATGCCTTTGTCCATTCATCGCCGATTATTTCCACAGGCGTGATTAATTCAATGAATAACAACGTCACCTTCAGACCCGATCTCTCATCGTTAATTCTCCGAATTGTGGACCAATAGAAGAATAATTATCGAAATAATCATCAAAATAATTATCGATATAATAATCAAGCTGGTAACATCATGAAATTAACCGCGATATTGTTGGCGATGGCTTTATGGAGTTGCTGCGCGCTAAAAGGTTCAATTGATCGCGCGTTTTACTTCAGATTCAGGTGTTTAATGATTATTTTTTTGTTTATATTATTTGTTGCAGAAATCAAGGATCCTTGTCACGGTGTTAATTGCACGATTGGTGCTGAATGTGTGAAGAGTGCAGACGGCACGAAAGGATTGTGCGAGTGCGTCAAGAGCTGCCCAAATGCTGATGAGAGCGACACTATTTGCGGAAGCGATGGGATCGATTACCCGAGTGTTTGTGCATTGAATCAATTCATTTGTGAGAAGGGAGTCAATGTCACGGTTGAATTCAAAGGGAAATGCGGTGAGTTGGTGAATTACCGTTGCATTATTTTACTCTCAACTATTAAAAATTAATTTCCTTTTAAAAACATGAATTTTTTCGGACTGATCTTAAATTTATTCGATTTAAATTATATCATTTATTTCATCCATTTTTATCGATTTATTAAAGTTTACTTTTATCATCATTGCGATTATTATTGTATTTTTTATTCATTAAAAATATTTTTTTTCCAATTTTTTAGACTCAATTATTATCACTCAGAAATATTTCACCTGAAAAATCAGTAAAATTTTAATGCCGAAATTCCCGGGGTGTAATTAATTTTTCAATCCGTAATTACCATCACTGAATTCAATGAAACGAAATCAATTTCTTTTTTAATCAAAAGAAGAATAAATACGGAGCCATTTTTCTCATTTCGCCGAGGGTTTTCTGCTCGCCGTGATGGAAAAAAATTTTTAATTCAACCCCGGAGAATGAATTTTCTACTGAAAAATCTGTTTTCTGATTGTCCTACCATTTTTACTTCCCACTTTTTTTATTATTTTTCATCAGGGAATGAACAAAGGGAAGTAATATCCGGCGATGGAACATTTCTCGGTGAACGGTAAAAAAAAAAACGTCAGTGGGGCACATCGGTCTCTTCGACAATGCCCGCCCTTTATCAATCGTCACCAGTTGCCCTTTCCATGAACGAATACATTCTCACTTTGAAGATCAATAAGTTGCCTGGCATGAGCGTTATGTCTCTCTGAGAGCTTTTACGTACCAGTTTTATTTCTCCAGTTGAAATTTAAGGGTGAGCGTAAATGGAATTAACGTCAATTCCTCGTGCCACCGTTGAGACTTTTATGGTGAATAAATCATGAGATTGTAATTGCATTCTTGTTCCGAGTTTTGGCTGAGGGGTGATCGTTGCAGCAGGACTTAATTAAATCGATATTAAAATACATCGGAATTGACGTTAATCATCGACTCAGATCGCGATATCGATATTTTTACAAACGGAAGTTTTTTTACTCGTGCGTTTTAATATAGGGAGTGATTACAGTCGAAACAACTGTGTTTGAATGAATTCAACTATCCCATTCCCAATACGATAATAATAATGATTGTGATGACATAATTATAAAAAATATTTATAATTTTTTTTTACCATTCTGTTAAAGTCTACAAACCCCCAGGCGCCAAAATCGAATCCCAAAAATTTCAATTTTTCAATTAAATTTTAAGAGAAGATTGTTCCGAATTTGTACTTAAAATTTCTACAGCTATAAATTGATAAAATGATAAAATTTTTCTGATGATTTAATGTAAAAAATACCTATACGATATGGAATGAGAGAGTAAGTCCCCACTTGTTAAGAATGTATAACGAGTATCGAATTGCGAATGACGAGATTGGAATATGATTTAATGGGTGAATTGCACGAGATGGGGTGTGCAAATGGGGAGTAAAAAATATCGCTAAATAAGGAAAAAGGATTTCTAAGCCCCCAGGGATGCCTCGAACGGGAAATAAAAAAAAACAAGAAGAAAAAAGGATAACGAGCATTGGGAAGGTTGACAATGCACTCCGGAGAAAAACTGGGCAGAGGAAATATCGAACGACGTTGTTGAACGTTGACGAGGCAGGAAACGTACCGAATCTAACTTTTAAACGAGCGGGTGTTCACCTCCTCCAATGGTCATGAGATTAAGCGATTTCATGGGGTATTATTACCGCTACAAAGCGCACAATGAGAGAAGTCGTACACCTTTTTTCATTACACCGCTGTATGCACTGACGATTTGGAAAACACATTACGCCAAATTTAAGAGTACCTTTTATTTTCAGCGGGAAAACTGACGCTAAATTGTTTTTAGTTCTCTCTTCTCGAGGCGAGAGAATTTTTTTATTTCTACTTGGCAGTTTCAAGAGTCACACTTCACTGGATTCAGGGATTCATTAATTAATCGAGATTTTTATTTTCACGATGTCGCATTTTTTACATCCTTGCACCCCTGAATTTTTAATTTTGAAAATACCATAAAATTCTAGAATTCCCTTTATTTCTCAATTAAAAAAATGTTAAATTATCTGATTTTCGGATCAACAGAGCGCGCGGACAGTTGAGATATATCCGGATGGATTTTTCAGAATGAATAACGGGCAGAACGATTTTAAAATGGAAGGGTTGGACTTGAGATGGTTGAGATGGTTGTGGCATAGACGATAACGTGAAAATTCAAGAAGGCGAGAGAAACTCAATGCGACGGGAGACTGATGTGTGCATCCATATACACTATTTTCTCGTCTATTTTATATATACCTGCCAGTGGATGTTCACACTGTACCTGTCTCTAGACTAGCGTGTTCCACTTTCGGTTGGCTTGACGCTCGTGTAAACCCACATGAACGAAAATTCAACGACGAAAATACTAGCAAGACAGCACCAATGATGAACGAATGGGTGAGAGAAGAGGATTACGCTTTGTTGAACGTCAAGCTGTGTAATGTATTTCCGGGGTTTGCTCACCAACCCTGTGAGCTCTTTCTCACTGCTATTTTACCATTCCCCTGACTGTTAACGAGCAGATTGTCGAATTATCCCTGACGACTATCCTCAGCCAACCATGTCTTCAAATACCTCGTCAAGTCATGGAGATACACCCAAAAGTCGATTATATCACTCAAATTTCGAAATTTCTCTCACGGAGGGGAATATTGCACGGAATTACACGGAGGCTAATCCACGGAGGGAAGTCCTTTGCTAAATTAATTTAATTTACTGAAGGATTCCAATACGGGATGATATTATGTCGATATCACTAGGAGTAATTGTGGACTTCATGTCGCAATGTGAATTAAAAAAATGTAACTGCAAATATACCATTGAATAACATTATTAAAAATTATTTACTGATGAATCATATGATTTTTCAAATGTTCTAATAATTCCCCATTTTTAGGCGTACTGAATTGAAAATTCAAATAATATTTCAAATGAACAACATTTTTTTTTAATCTTCAAAATAAATGAGAAATTTTCAACAAATTTTTAATTTTGATATTAAAGATTTCCGTCAAATACCCCTTCGAAAATTCGGTATTAAATTTTATAGAAGTTCCACCACCTAGCGAATTCTCAAAAATAATATCCCAGATTGAAATAAATTTTTAAATTCTCGTTTAACCAGCTCTCCCGTTTGATGAATTTCCTTTAGCGTGGCACACCGCATAAATCACGGTGTGACCGATTGAATCCTTGAAAAAAATCACTCTATCATTCAGCCCCGCCCCCGTGACCCCTGAAATCAGTCATCGGTAGTAGATAAGTGTCACTCGTTTAAAATTCAGTCGCCATCAGCTTCCCAAGGCAATTGTTTTCTTCATCCCTCCCGGGCGCAACGTGAGGCGCTTGACTTTACGCTCTAATCTTCGAAGTTCCTTTCAACTTTCCTCCCATTTTTACTCATTTTTCTCACCACCTCCGCCCACTTCCTTTGCATCGGCTAACTTCCAGGGGCGGAATAATAATCAAACCCAGGGGATGAGGATGGTATTGACAGCAGTTGAGGGCTGTACGCGCGTTTAGAAGTCAAAATGGAATTGAATTGAAGGGACAGTCATTAAGCGGATATCAATGCACTCCATAAAATTTTTTTATAGGAAATTCGAATATGAGAAAAATTAATTTTTTGACTTTAGATAGAGTCCGGAAACAAAAAGATACGCATAGACAAACATTGGGGAGAGGTAGACTATAACGGGATTCTACTGTAATTGGTGAATGTTCCCTGCGGCGCAAATTGTTTCAATTTGTTAATTTTTGCGTGAGAATCCGTGGAGAAATGAAATAAAACAATAAAAATGCCGTCGGGGGTTTATCACCTGCGGATATGAAATGAATAAAATCTCAAACGTGATAGAGAAATCGGAAATGTAAGAGTTCAATGGAGTGAAGCTGAGATTCGGTCAGTCCGTTCCGGGGATATCGCGTCAAGATTAATCTCTTGGGTTGTGATCAGGGGGTGGTGGGCGGAATGGTGGCAGGGGGAGATTGGAGGAGGAAGGAACTGGAATTCCGTTTCCCGTTTGCACGACTCTTGGGTTTCAGTTCTCTCCTGACGAGGCAAGTTGCTTTTCTCGCCCCGTTGGAAGCACTACAAGCAAACGCGCCCCCTGTTTCTTAGGGGATGGGGTTGTTGAGCTCAAGTTACAGACCAATGGAGCGGGTAAACACTCCCTCGACCACCGATCGCTCGGGTAATGGAATTCACCCCCTTACCGTCCCCAGAGCCAATGATTTTTCCGTTTCACCGTATCACCTCCGGCGATAAGTGCAATCCTGCCTTTGTTTTTTGGTCAGATAAATAAACGAGATATTTCGATCCCGTCGTTTGCCAATTTTTTTTCACTTATTTTTCACATATTTTGGAATTTTTAGAAATTAACTCTGATAGTTTTATCCTAATTGGATTTTTTTCAATTCTTCAAATTTTTTGAGATTTATTTTTGAAATTTTTTGAATTGTTCATCTCGCAAAAAATTACAGAAGCTATTTTTTTTGTGAAAAACCAATAATGTGTTGTAAATGAATTTGTGGAGTAATTCTACTTTGGGCCACTCTTCCCTGATAATAATGGCTAATTAAATGGCAAATTGACGTTTAATTTCAGATCCTTGTGGCAGTTTGGATTGCACTGAACCGGAAGTGTGTCAACTGGATGAATCAAGGCAGCCAGGTTGTCGCTGTGGGGAACAGTGTGGTCTTGAATTCTCACCAGTTTGTGGTAGCAATGGTAAAACTTATTCCAACGAGTGTAGCCTCAGGCAGGAGGCGTGCAGGTCCAGATTACCACTCAGAAAAATTTACAATGGTGCATGTAGCTCAGGTACGTTTAGAAATGACGATGTAATTACAGTTGAATGGAAACCCCTTCCAGGGGCTGTTTTATTCCATTCGGGAGTTGATTAGAATGGGGAAGGAGGATAATTATCAAGAGCTAGAATTAATAGCAAATGTCGTTGCATTATCCCACCATTTCTACTCGAATCGCTCTTTCTCGCTCAAAAATTCGATTTCATAAACTTTCTTCTTACAATTATCGTAATTGGTTTTAGAAAACCAGTGACTTTTTCGGAAAATTATTGTGAGTTTGATTTCAGGCGAGAAATCCAGAAATTTCACGGCTTTTATAAAATTTCAACGAATCATTCCCATTTTTACCGAAATGAAGACAAAATTTCCACATCCCCTACCTTGAACCACAACCCAATTTTGATTTCTAAGAATTTACCCCTAATGCCAAGATTTTTTTCCACTACCACACAACTAAAAAACGAAATGAAAGCTAGCGAAGACTGTTATTACGCCCGCGCCTTTAATTAAAAAATTCGATATCTTTATCAAATAATCCCGGAATGGAATAAAAAATGTCTTTGATGCCCTGAGAACGAAATAAAAATTTTTCATCCCCCGTGATTTAATTAACAGGAACGAACCCCTGCGATGATGCGCACTGCAGTGAATTGGAGGATTGTGCAATCGATCGTTACGGCATAACTAAATGTGAATGCGGTCCAGAATGTGAACCAATATTGATGCCAGTCTGTGGAGATGATGGTACAACGTACAAGTCTCATTGCGAACTGAAGAGACAGGCGTGTCTAACTAAGAGTAACATCGAGGTCACATACATTGGCAACTGCGGATCTAGAGGACCCTGCACCGAGAAGGCAAGAGATTCTATCGATATATCATATTCCACTTGATTGTTGCATTCCACTCTAACCAATTCATCTGCTGGAGACTAATTGGATGCCTCTGTGAAATCAGAGAATCTCCCCACTAAAATCGCCAGAATATAAATTCAAATGAACCAAATTACTCCACAAATAATTATTCCCTGTATATCTCTCAAGGAGATCCTTCCTATCGACGCTAATTGGATATACCCTGTGAATTTGAAGAGTACCCAAACTCCGTACTCATCTTCAATATCAAAATGTATCAAATCAAATGTATCTCACCGCACGAAAAACAGAGAATATGTAAATTATATATTAATTATATCCAGATGTAGTTGTGGTCAATTATCAGAATATATATCGGTAGAAATGTGATATTCAAGAGAATTGACGAATGATATTCTCGTATTCTCTGGTATGAAGTCGATCGACTTTATGAGAGGTATTTTTTTTTCTCATTGTTGGAGTAATGAAGAGCCCCAGTCACGCCCGATGCTGAGGGTTATAGAAATAGAACGTGACGTGAAAAATTTTCTCTCTCGATAGAGTATTTTTCTTAGCTCCGTTATTTCTTCTGAATCATTTTTTTGTTCGCGTTTTTTTTTAAAAGACATAACACTTGGATTACTCACAGATCTGTCAATGGGGAGCCATCTGTGCCGAGCAGGGAGATACTGCTACCTGCCAATGTCCCACGTGCTCTGTTGAATTCAATCCAGTTTGTGGTGATGATGGTATCAGCTATGGCAATGAGTGCAAACTTAGATTGGAGGCTTGTCAGCACCGAAGAGAAATCAAAGTTCTTTACCACGGATTGTGCAGTAAGTAATCACTTTTCACTTCACTAGTTGTCACTCCTAATATTTCACTTTTTTCACTTTTTTCACAATTTTTATTTTATCCTTTGTCAAATTATAGAACTCAAAATTCGGATATTTTTTTATTGTGGATCAAATAACGAATAGTGGCAATGGCAAATTAATCTCATTAATTAATATTTTCGAGTTGAAAGTCAACGAACGAGTGGCTGATGTGCCAGAGTACACAGTGGAAACATCTGAGTTCAAATCCTGTCGGAGGAATTTTTTTCGAAAAGTCGTTTCTGTATTTTTTTCTCGAATTAATTATGTGTTTGAATCGTCAAGAACATGTACTTGCTTCTCTGATGGTCCGGATAACAATCCCGAAATGAACAAACACGCAAAGCAAGAATCGCGAACCCATGAATTTTAATGACAACTTTTCAACGTCTCCACTTTGTTTTTCCATTTCACTTCCTACTTCGTACCTCTCCCTTCACTCCTATATTCATTCAGAGCCGTAGAAGATAATTCTCTCTGGCTTAAGGAAGGGTTTTCCACGATGGAGGAAGGGGATGCAGTTATGCAAATACCCGAGAATCTTTATTAATGCCATTCTGGATGTCATGTTCTGGGAAGTTTGACGGTAGAAATCATAAACTCGGGAGAAACGCTTTTCAAGGTGCATCAAGTCTTGTTGAATCGACGTAAATAGAAGTTGAAAAAGGAAATCAAGGGAGGCACCATAAAATCTCGAGTTTCACCGTACTTTCCGTTTGACGGAATGTTTAAAAAATTGAACCTATCGTGTATCTATCATTGTATAGAATTTTTTTACCGTGGACACGTCTTAATTTTCAATACGGAGGACCATTCCGGTGATTTCCTCCTGCTAGCAACGCCACCTGTCCGATTATTGAAGAACTGAGGCTTTAAGTCGTACTCGAGAGATTTGGTTGACTCTGAGAAACCACGGGAGACTTCCCGCCACTCGTCCGTACCGCACCATAATTTTTATGTTTTGCCTTCTGCCGTGTTCCGTCGACTAAAGTTTCTCCAGTACTGCAGTCTTTTTTTATAAATTAGCGTGGCCTCTTGATTGGCAGAAAATTCCATGGCGGGAGTAAAAAAGCATCGCCTCATGATTGGAGCTGAATGAAGAAGGTGTACTGCAGAAATCTTAGTTTTCAGGAAACCGTGAAGCTGTTGTCCCGTCGTAATTGATCCTTACATTCCCGAAGATTTTCGAAGACTGATGTTCTTCTGAAACGGCACTCTCCTTTATACATGACCGTATGGCAGTGATTGGTGCAAAACTTGGTGGTGGGGGTAAAAAGAATACACTCATGTGATTGGCTCCAATCGCCGCACCAATCACAGGTCTTCACGTTTCAAACGATTATGTTAGAAATATAACTCGGCGAGGAGCCTCTCGTCACGGTCCGTGCAAGTTGATAAGTCTGAGGAAATCATGTTAAATCATTCATTCACGAGGAACAGATCTCCAGCAGCTACAAGAAGGAAAGAGAAGAAGCAGTGCAGAGAAGAGAACAGAAACCCAGAAGACATCAAAGCAGGAGAGAATACAGCAGAGCGAAGCAAAAAAGAAATTTGAGAAATAATTCTAGTGAATAACTAAGAAATCTCAAGGTCGTCAACAAAAATTGGAGCTATTGGAAACATTAATTTTTTCTCCTGGAGGATTTTCATGGCATTTCAATAAATGTCTTATTTCGCTGTCGAGTTTGAGAAATAGAATTGAAGAGAAGAATCTGAAATTGAATAACTGCATTTCTTCGGCATTAAAAGATGAACATTCTATTCTTCCATTTAAATAATTTTCTGAAAGCATTCAGAATTTTTATCAGTTCTTGCTTAAGAAAATTGTTCTGAAGGGAATAAATTAAAAATTATAATCATTTAAATTTATTGGGAGCTTAATGAATAGAATGAAATATGAGATTTATGAGGGGTGAAGGGGAAAGATGGGACTTACAGTGACTCAATGAAATTTCATTTCAATTATTTCCAGAAAATCTCCAAAATTTGGATGATCGTTGGAAATTTAAACAACTCAATCTCTTCACTCCAACTTTCCTATGAATTTTACAACGATTCATCAAACAAAAAATCACTAGAAATTTTCTGTCACTGATTAAAATTTCCAATATTCTCCATTAGCAATTTCAAGTGAAATTTAGTATTAGTGTTGTTGGTCGGTGCAAGAGAGAATGTGCAGAATGTAAAAAAATTCGGTCTGATGAAAATGATGGATGAAGTGGGTGTGGTGAGGACTTATCTCCAAGAATTCATTGAAATCCAGTACGAAATCTCTGAAGGGACGGAGTCACCCCCAGAGAGAGGAGTTAAAGGAAAATGGAGAGGGTGTTGGTTTGAACGTGGCAACACTACATTTTGCTTGATGTACGTGTAACACAATGAGTAGTGGTGATGTTGGGGTACGGCATTGGGGGAAGGTTGGCCCAATGGTGGTTGCATGCATATGCAGCATGCATGCCTCGGGGTAACAACTCATAGCACACGGTATGTGGGTGTAGAGTCCCAACCATCGTGATATGCATGAAACCGCGTTTTAATCTACAGAGAGATTCACAAGACGAGAGCCAGCTAACAGATCGCCCGAAATATATAATTCATTTTATTATTTCACCTGTAAATTTCATTGAATATGTACTTGACGTTTTGTCGATTCTGCCACCGTCCCCTCGAAATTATTTCCTATCAGAAAATGGTTTTTCGTCCTAAAGGGAAAATCTTTTGTTTCTGAAAAATTCATGTGGTACAGAAAATTTCTTGTTATTCTACGTGTTTTGAGGGATTGTATAAACTAATTGTGGTTATTTAAAATTGCAAAATTGAGAAATCCAAGACGAGCACATGAAAAACTTGTCAAAATCCAAAAATCATTCTTACATTTCCAGATGGCTGCGAGAGCAAACAATGCGACAATTACGCTAAATGCGAGAGCGACAGTACTGGTGAAGCTAAATGTGTGTGTCCAACAAGCTGCGGAGATTCGGTGAGTCTTGTTTTTGGAATAACAATACCTCGTTACCATAAATTGCATTAGAACCTCCATGATGGATAGTAGTCCTCTTTCCCTGAAAATAATCCACCTTTGTCCAGAAATGTGTACCTGGGGTAACCTCTACGTGCACTTCATCCACTCCTCCACTCCTCTACTTCTCCAGATACTGGTGTTGCCCTGGGTTAAAGGGGAAAATAAAAAAAAAGGGAGAAAGGAAAAATTTAGAATGAAAAAAAATGAGAGGAAAAAGTTACTTTCTCTTTGAGTCACAACTTCAAAGCATTCACTGTGCACCGGTATAGTGCTTCTTGTCAAACAATGTAAATTACGTCGAGGGTGCATGAAGAGCATTCCATCTCTGCGTGTATAACCATGCGGTGAATCACGGGCAAACATGTTATTCAAAATGTTCCATGTTTTTCTTTCTCGATTCCTCTGTCGATTTCACCTCAGGCCAACTATTAACAAATAAATCCAAACATCAATTACGTACCGGTCTACAATTTAATTTCAATAATGGGTCAATTTTTCAGGAATATCCCTCGATGTTCCAGGGATAGCGAAATTTTTATTGATACATTTTTTGCAGCTCTGGTTATACTCCACAAAAAAGGTCTTAAGAATAATTTTCATAGCTGCACTACTGATAAGATTCTTTAGGAAGTATTTTAAAGGGTTGAAAAAATATATATCCAGAATGATGAAACGATTTTGGATGGAGGTTGTAATGTCAATGAGCACGAGAGAGGGAATTCGGATGGGAAAAATGTCTGGAGGGCTGAGCCAGCTATCCCGTGCTTATTGGGTGGAACCGAACATTGTCGACACCTAACGCCAACGAGACCAGAAAAATTGCCCTCATCCTCGATTCTCAGGCATCCTAGGGCATCCTTATCGGTAATCGCCTCGATCGAGTGAATTCATCGTTTCTTCTGTCGTACCAGCATCCCAATGTTCCCCATCGCGAAAAAATGGGAAAAAGTAATAAGTCGTTGAGGATGTATTTTTGAAATGGGTGGACATTTTCGGAATTTTATCCGGGTTCTGCCCTTTTTCTTTCAATTTTCAAAGATGCTGATACCTCAGCTTCTCTGAATTTCAAATTCACCAGTCAGCAGATGGTGACACCCAGGGATTCTGATAGGAGATCATTGTTTGGTGTCCCGCATTGTGACAAAATTTTAGGAGAAAAGATTCTCTCGTTTTATGAGTGGAGATACCGAATATTCAATTCAGCGTTTTTTTAGAATTTCGGGAGCGGGAATTTGTTTGGGGATCGATTGATTAGAATACTTTGAGAAGATGAGAGAAGTTGTGTTTTTTATTTTTGGTTGTCTTTGCAATCATCGGATAATTGAAAAGAAAAAACCGGAAATTTCCACTGAAAGAAAAGTTTCTTCCCCGAAAAAGTCTAGAGTCGCGATGCAGCCAATTAGACCAAAATCGAATATTTGCAGCCATAGTTACCTACCTATCGCCACCCACCTCTTGCACCTCTATTGTACCCCTATTTTCTCTGGCACAAGCGTTACCACCGGCCATTCCCAACCGCGGCTATACCATAATAACTATTATTCCCTTGCACCCGACCACCACAAACACCACAACGGTCTCGAATCCCAATTAGAACTAATGAAGCCTCTGCACGTATGCATTCAAAACAACGGTTAGAAGGCCTTTCTCCGTTGTGCTCCACTTAGTTACATATTGTTTCAATAATAACAATCCTACCACCCCCCTTTCCACCCCCCATCCATCCTTTACCACCCCCTGGGCACGTGACCAGTTGTCTCGTGCAAGAGAAAATGGAGAAAAATCTACCACAAAAAACAAGTGGAAGTAAAAGTAAAAAAAAGTTTTAACGAGCAAACAAACGGCTGAATGAAATGAATATAAGCACGACTAATTAAGTATAACATTCCATAAAAGGGTGGCCGGGGGGTGGTGAGCCATATGCAAGACTCAATGCGCAACAAGTGAACGAAATGTTACGAGTGTTTCCTTTATTCGAGATTCAGTGGGGTGGAATTAAAAGAAATTTATCATTCAATCCGGCTGGTTAGGTCTTTGAATTTATGAGACATTTTTTAGGTCTTTATTTTCATTTTTTTGTATTGTTTCAGAAGGATGAGGAGAGGAAAGTGTGCGGCAGCGATGGAATTACTTACGCTAATGAGTGCGCCATGCAAAATACATCGTGCAGTACCAAGACTGTAATTACAGTCGCTTTCGAGGGCGAATGCTGTGAGTTTTTAGGTTTTTGTGGAGAGATAGGATGCGGATTGATTTTCGGCTCCATTCAAAACACTAATGAATTCAAAATTACAGAAAAACGATTCCCATTTCCGGTAATTGTTAGTTAATAAATTCATGAAGGACTTTGCAAGGTCAGAGTTCAAGTACTATTCTCTGGAAATGTAATTGGAAATCTCTAAATATTTGGAACTTCTCGGCCGTTTAATTTGCGAATTTGATAAGAGTCCAGAATTATTATCTCCATTCAGTCTCGTCCATTCACGTGGGAGTAACGGCCACGGAACTTTTAATGAACGAAAAATCTTTGAAACCCAGCATTATGCACCAACATTGAGTGTAAAAACGGCGCTCACTGCTCAGCGGGTGAATGTGTCTGTCCTGAAAGCTGTCCAGAACCAACTGGAGAGCCAGTATGTGGTACTGACGCAAAGACATACCCATCCGAGTGCGACTTACAACGAACTGCCTGCGACAAACTCAGAAGTAAACTTCCAAGTCTGCACGTAGCATTTCATGGAGAGTGCGGTGAGAAATTTGCCGTTGCAGCACTCAGTAAGTTTCCAATACCCCTCACACTCTTGCAAATTAGTTGTCATCAATTTGGCTTCAGTACCAGAGCTGATACTCAGTAATTTGGGGAAGGAAAATCAATGGATGAGTTAGAACGATTCCAGTTAACCTGAAATTACCACACAACGAGGAATGTCCAAGAAAAATCTTATAAGACTTTTTTCGAGAAAATGCCCGCCTCTACAAAAAAGTCAAACAAATTTTTTCCATAAAACCACTCATTTTGGCAGTAAAAACCGATTTCGATAGTAAAAAAATAAAGCTTTCCCTGAAATCTCAAGTCTCTAGTTTCAGTTCATTGTCTCGTTAATTTATCTCATAAACAACAGGTTTTCGAGAATAATGTTAGGAAAATTTTTACTGGGGAATTTTCTGCTCTATAAAAAAGTCAAACGACATTTTCCTGTGAGACCGCTCGTTCTCGTGATAAAATCCCAAAGTGGAAAAAATGGCAACGCGTGACTTGAACGATTTTCATGACCTCTCTACGGAGTTTTTCAATTACTAACAGTGCAGTAATCCACTAACAATTAACCAATCCTCATATAAACCCAGCTACAATGTCAACACCGTCGGTGACACGATTGCCAACAACCGTTGCCGAGGTAACGAGTAGTCAGGAACGAGAAGCATGTAAGGACATACACTGTGATTTTGAAGCCACCTGTGAACTGGGACCAGACAGATTTCCTCGGTGCAGCTGCAAGTTCGATTGCACAACAGCTAATGAGGAGAGTACCATGCCAGTATGTGGGAGTGACCTGAAAATTTATCCCTCAGCCTGTTCCATGAAGATTGAAGCATGCCAGAGGCAACAGGAGCTCAGACTCAGGCCCTTAGATCTCTGCCAAGGTTCGTCCATCCCTGAGCTTTTCCTCTCCCTTTCTCCCCTTTCTTCCCCTTCCCCATACGTTCAGTTAAAAAATAATAAAATGTCAATGGCATACTTGTCACCGATTTTCCCTCAACATTGAAAATTTATAATTCTAAATCATTTGAAAATTATCAGCGAGACTGGAAAAATCTCATTAAAATTACCATGACCCCTGAAAAAACGTGTCCTAATGTAAAATTTTCTCAAGTCGAATTTCTCACCGAATAAATGTCACCAGGTATGGAAGTAAAACCTTGCAGTGGAGATCCTCCATTAACCGACGATGAGGGCAAGGAATACGACTGTGGAAGTGGTCCAGACAGACGTGATTGCCCTAGTAACAGTTATTGCCACCAAACCACCCGATTTGCACGGTGCTGCAAGAAAGGTATATGCGACTTTAAAATTTTAAAACAAGTACTTGAGAGCAACCCTCATGGTGATTTTTATTTTACCGGAGTAGTCCAGGGGATTCAAGTTGTCAAGTGCCTGGACTCTTGGCATGGATGCTGTCCAGATGGAAAAACAGCTGCACTGGGACCCGATGGGGCTGGATGCCCCAGTCTCTGCAGTTGCAACAGGTTGGGAAGCATCTCCGACACCTGTAATCCTGAGACTGGACAGTGCAAGTGTCGTCCAGGTGTCGGGGGTCTCAAGTGTGACAGATGCATGCCCGGATACTGGGGATTACCGAAAATCAGTGAGGGACATCAGGGATGCATTCGTAAGATTTTATTCATTACCCGTCAAGAAATAAAATCAGTAATTTACATTAACGTCATTTTATTAACGTGAACATAAATCAACAGTAAATGTAACAATTAAAATGAATCAATACGAATTGGAAAATTGATATTGATTAAGTACCTAGAATCTAGGGGATGTTTATATTTCATTATTATTTCAGCCTGTGGATGTTCCCTTTTCGGATCCTCTAGAGAGGATTGCGAACAGATGACTGGACGATGTGTCTGCAAGGAACAGATTCAGGGACAGAAATGTACCATTTGTACAGATCATAATAAGATTCTCACACCCACTGGCTGTTTTTCAGGTACCAATTTCAGGCCGAGGAGCAATTGAATTAATTAACCACTGAATATCCAATTACAATTATCTCACCTAGATTACAATAACTTACCTCAATAATGAGAATTCTTTCCAAAAATTTAATTAAATTCGAATCCCCCGGAGTGCGAGAAGTTTGGAAATTCATTATTTCTGCATTCGTTTTATTTTCTCGAGGCTTCGGAGAGATTCAGTAATTTTTTTGAGCAGAATTCTCAGACACGTCTCATCCTTCCCGTCAATAATTCCCCCAGACCCAAAGAATGTTGTCTCAATTCCAGCGGACACGAGTGTAACAATGCCAACAAGCTGTAACGAGTTGGAATGCTATTCCGGTGGCCATTGCACTGAAATTGGCGGTGGCCCTCACTGCGAATGTCCATCCTCCTGTCCAACTGATGTACCATCAGTGCCAGTTTGTGGTAGCGATGGACAGACGTACGCAAACGAGTGTGAATTACGATTGTATGCCTGTCGTCATCAGGCCGACGTCGTAACGCAGGCATTTGGACGTTGCCGAGGTGGGTTTACTGAGCGTTCGCCTTACATCCCACTTTATTTATTGAAATACTGAGATTATCCCGTTCGAGAGCCGAAAGACCAAAAGAAAATGCAAATAATCGATTTTATCAATTCAGGCTGTGAGAAATGTATTTTTATCCAACTCGTTTCAGAAATTTCCTCAGAGCTATTCCTTTTCGTTAAAATTTATTGTATTCCTTCAAAATTACACATTTTACATAATTGTTGAATTATCTCATTACTTTCCTGCAATTGTGAGATGATACAGCAAATAAAGGGATTTTTTTTAATCAATGTTCAAAATTGTGAGAAATGTATCTTCCTCATTTTCCCTCTCAATAAAGAAGACATGTAATTGCAGCGTTATTTATCAAAATATTGAGATATTCCAACACTCGAAACAATAAGCCATAGCACAAAAATCGATCCACAAAAGACTCCAAAGATACTAACAGCGAGACTAATAATCCTTAATGACGTGTGTTGGAAATAGTTACGTAGATTAAAGAAAATATCGATAATTACCTGTGGAGGGAGGGCTGGTGGAGGTCTTGGTGATTGCTAGAGCTGTAATGAGGGATAATAAAATTCTTGCGTTTTTCCATAATGATCTTCTAATTATTCCCCTTCGGTTGACGTATCGATTGAAATGCATATTTAACTCACACAACCTCCCAACCTCTGAAAATTCAATAATTTTTGTACATCGATAAAGCTCTCTACTCCTTTGAGCTCGAAACAAGTAATTGAGCAACGTTTACTCGTGAAAATGGTCTTCAAAGGTGAACTTAAGTAAATCAACCTGCGGATCTCGTCTGGCCAGACTATTACTATCCCCCACATATGTGCACACATCGTACCTCAAAAAGAGCACATGTGCACCTCCCCAGCCTCTCAATACACTACTGAATCATTCACACTCTCATGCACTTCAGTATCTTCCATCTCCTTGCTCACATCCCAGACCTCTCAGATTTTTCTTTTCCCTCTTTTTTTTTATCCTCTCAATCATGAGATGATACAACAAAAAAAAAAACCAGCTGACCATTTTTGATTAGTTCCGAAGGATAATTCCGAGCATTCCCCAGTCCATAAAATTATTTGACCAATTTCGTTAATTTTAGCAATATTAATAATTAGATACAATTATAATTTCTTTGACAATATGAATTAAATCAAATTAATTACGTAATTAATACACAATAATTCGATAAATTGCTCTATTTTCACACTTTAGGGAAATTGTGATTGTAACTGCAATCAATAGTGTTCTCTCGAGTTGGAAGCAATCTTCCGGCTTCGCGTCGAGTAAAAAAATTCAATCCTGGAATAAAGTGTGACAATGAGAATCTTGGAGTAATTAATGGCTCTACAGGAATAAAGAAACATCATTAAAAGAGAATGAATTGAATAACAATTAGTAATGTCGAGGGGAAATGGGTTTCAAGGTTTTCGTTAACTTGTATTGAGAAAACTAGGAAATTCTTGAGAGGAAGTGCACTCCGTCGAGGGACGAGAATAAACTCTGAAGTTTCCTCTCGTCCCACCCCTTTTTCTACTTGAATCTATTAAACCCGATGACCCCTCCGCAACCCGCTTCCACCCCCTTCAATTCAATTGGCAGAATTTGCGATTTCCAGAGGGATTTTTCAAATCAATCTCTATCTTTCAGTCTCAACAACAAAAATCCGATAATCCAATCTAAAAATACAATGATTATTTTTAAAAGTCCTATCTATAAAATCAATCAATTTGGCGTAATAGAAATAAATAAACAATCTTGATTCACAAAATCGTGATTGCCTTTCGAATTGATAATTAACTTGGAAGACTAACTATAGAATAAAGAAATCGAGACACTGTGCAAAACTATTTTGAATCCATTAATAAAAAAATAGAGATTAAAATTTAGGTGGAAATAGAGGAGAATAGTGGGAATAGAGGCACAAGTTGAAAGCAACTTAATCCGTTTTAATGAAAAACAATCATTATTCGTGGACTCTTTACTTTGGACAGATCATCAAGAGTTTGAACTATTCCATAAATAGCTTCACCCCCGGCATGAGTAATGAATGAATAAATAGGTCTGGTAGGATTATTTTGGGGCTCTTCGTCTCTGTCAACTGTCGACGGTTTTGGGGGAAATGAAAACGGAAGAGGCAAAGGGAGATTCGCAACGAGAAAACCCCGAGGTACTTTGTGATCCTTTAGTTTGGTACTTTGAATCTTGTAAATAATGGATGACGGCGTTGAGGCCAGAGTATCGAAAAATGAGAGAGTTTGATGCATTTAGCGTGTTCACTTCCAAGAGTGACTAATGACGATCATTTGATTGAATAAATCAGCTGGGTTACCAGTTTTCTCCATTTTCTTTGGTACCCCATTTTTTTCAATTGCTTGAACATGCTAATATAAATAAATCATATTAAATTATAATTATTATTCATTAATAAAACCGAAAAGCCCAAATAACAAAAAATCAACAGTCACTCATGAATATCCCCAATTTTTTGAATGAAACGTAATTATCTTCTCCAATTCAAATGACATTTTTCCCAGGACATGCATTTATTATAAATTCAAAAAAACTCTGAGTCCTGGAGCTCAAAAGGTCCAAGTATCAAAATAATACCGAGGAATCTGAGGCCAAGTGGAAAAACCAATGAAAGTCAGCCTTTGAAGTGAAATAATAGGAAGCACAGGCGGTTCCTGGAATTAATTAAACCCCCCATTCTCATCAAACCACTCGCAAGATGCTGCTGAGTGGAGCGATACGGTTTTTCATCTGGTGGGTTTTGTCCCGTAGAAATTACCCTCTCAATGCTCCCTATTTATGTTCCATTTTTACTTATGAATTACAACACGAGTATCAAAGAGTACTTTCCCGTCTGATTTTCCGGGAGAACGCTTTCACCGTTCCTTTCGTTTTACTCCAATGATGAGTTTTCAAGGATAAATGAGCACTATGCCCCGCTAATTTTTACCGAGAAAAAAAAATTTCACTCTCCACTCCCTCAAAACGCTGGTTTCACTCTATTCATGTGCTTTAACCGACTGTGGGCTTAACAATTATGATCAATGTGGAGGGGTACACTGCCCTCTCCACTTTTATTTAAATGTCAACAACTCATTTAGTTTTTCCATCAGGAAAGATTTTTTTTTCCGGAAATAAAACCCCTACGGGTGAATAGTGGCTCAAGGTGAATTTATCGGTATTAATTTATCGGTATTAATTATTGAAGGGTTTTTTTGTAATTTATTAGATTTCCGGTGAAAAAGGGGTCGTTAAATTTTTTTATAAAGTCAATAGTTTTTTAATTATTCGGGATTTAGGAAAACTTGAAGATCGGATCTTTTAATTGTTAATGCTTACCTGCGGAAGTAGTTTTTCTCTTTTTAATGAGCCCAGACCCAGCTGGGCTAATGAGTTTTCGTTTCAATTATGCATCTCAGGAAAATGTCAAAAACAGCTTTAGCATTGTCTCTTCATTGTTCCTTCGTTTTTAGCTGAAGAATTCTGAAACTAGAACTTCCATGAGCATCTCGTAATTTTTTTCCTTCCTGAGAATTTCCGCAGCTCGCCGAATTTGTAAAATCGATTAAAAGGGATTTCTGATTTTGGTCTAATTGAAATTTCAAGGGGTAGGTAAAGACAAAAAATCTTTCAGACGATCCAAAAGTGAACACCGACTTCCCAGTAAAGAGATTTACGGCTGTCCAGTACACGCAACCAGCGGCAGCAATATCTCCATTGTCCAAATCAACGAGGCATCTTCTTGGTCCTGAGCCAGACTCCAGGTACTACTACACCCATCGGGCACAGCAGGAGTCCATCACCATTGACCGGGATAATCTCAAACACGGTAATAAGATTTTTTTCCCCACAAGGATGCAAATTTCCACTAAAATCGCCGGAGATGCAGACATTTTTCTCTCAAGACTATTTCTTTTTATTTTCTTCTCATTCTCGTACTCGGGGCTGTTGGGGATAATGATCATGGGCTTCCAGGTGTCGCAGCTGCTTCGAGGCCGACACCAGCAACTATTCGCGTTGTTACTGCACTTCTTGGGGATCTTTGTGCTGATGATAAGGACTGCACAATACCGAATAGCGAGTGTGTCAATGGGGGGTGCATTTGCTCCAGTGGATTCTCGGAGACGAGCGATCGACAGGAATGCTTTGGTAAATAAAATTCTTCGGTCGTTATGGAAAATTTAACGAGATGCTTTTCGAGTGACAGAACTGTTCTCATAACTTCGGATATTTATTACTGTTTTGCAATAAATTTTAATTGATTTCAATTTTTTTAGTTCAAAATTTCGGGGCGTGCGATTTTTAGTGGAATTGTCCGCGCTAATGTTTTATGCATGCAAAGTCTCTTTTTCTTCTTTCAATAACCTCAGCTTGATTTCCACTAATTAATTTCTTCCTGAGTAATGCGAATTATAAAAAAATTGGAATGATGTTTTAAGTATGAGAAATTGTGCGATTATCTTGGAAAATAATTTATAAATGAATTGCACGGGTAGAAAATTCGCAATTTCATAAATTATTCGATTAGGAATAGAAAATTTGAAGTTTTAATATAATTATAATATAATTTTGGATTATCCAAAAATTCAAGGATGTATTTATCCGAATTCTGAATTTTTCAAATTTCGCTTGATTTCTGTTAAATTTTGAATGAACTTCTCGAAATAAATCCTGCGTCCTCTTGCCAGCGAATTATTTGCCAGTGACACCCTCGAAGGAGCTCCGGGCGTGTCTCTCGTACCCCTGTCACTCGTCATCGACGTGCATCGATCTGCCGTCATCGACATTCGTTTGCATCTGCCGTCCGAACTACACGGGTCTCCTCTGCGACGAGGAGATCAACAAACGAGAGTACGAGATACCGTCATTCGACGGAAAATCCTACGTGCGAATGTCCCGACTAAAAGCCTACCACAAATTCAGTATTGAAGTTGAATTCAAGACGTACGCTGATAACGGAATAATTCTCTACAACCAACAAAAGAGCGATGGAACAGGGGATTTCGTTTCTCTCGCTATAATCGACGGTTATCTCCAATTTCGATACAACCTGGGAAATGGTCCGGTGATTCTGACGTCTCCAGAGCGCGTCACACCGAAGAACTTCCACCACGCGACAGCTAAACGTTACCACAAGGATGGCGTCCTGATCTTCAATAACGGAGAGGACATCGACGGAAAATCTCAGGGGATCCTAAAGTCCCTGGACCTGAACCAGGACACGTTCGTGGGCAACGTTCCGACGAACTACAGCCGAGTGTTCGAGAATATTGGCACGAGTCAAGGCCTCCTCGGGTGTATCCGAAAATTGAAGATCAATCGATCCCCAATCGATCTCCACATTAATCACGACAAAGAAGTCCTGGAGACATATCGTGTGAAGGAGTGCACAGAGAACGCGTGCGCCTCACTTCCCTGTCAAAACGGTGCGACCTGTCAACCAATTTTCGAAGAGGATCTGTGCAACGGTCGAGAGTGTCCCAACCCCAAAAAAGGAAAGGGCAAACGAAAGGGACACACAACCCCTGGATTAAACGTCGTCAAGTGCAGGGGTTCACACTGTGCGACAGTCGATGGAACTCCCAAACAGAAGAGATCGAAAAAACATCCGAGGAAAAAATGCATCGGGGCTGAGTGCGATTACGATTACGAGCTCGATTACGAACCAAATTTCGATAATTACGCTGTTACACAATATTCACCACCGGAGTACAAGTGCACATGTCCACCTCAGTTCACTGGTGTCAACTGCGAGGAATCCCTGGATCCCTGCATCGGTGAGCCCTGCAGGAATGGAGGTGTCTGCGATATCCTCCCACAGGGTGGATACGTCTGCAAGTGCCCTCCAGGGAGAACTGGAGAACACTGCGATGTTCTCGATGCTGATCTCACTGAATTCCTTGTCCCTGAATTCACTGGGGACGGATTCGTCGAGCTCGAGTGCCTCGATGGGGTATCCAAAGCCTTCTCCATCGAGCTGTGGTTCCTCACCAGAGCCAATGATGGACTTCTTATCTATAATGGACAGATGAATAATGGCAGGGGAGATTTTATCAGCTTGAATCTGGTCCAGGGGAGGCTGGAGTTCAGGTTCAATCTGGGGAGTGGAATTGCTAATATCACGTCACCCGATGTAGTCACTCTTGACACTTGGCACTGCGTTAGGATCAGCAGACTCGGAAGGGAGGGACTCCTTCAGCTCGATGAGGGCACTGTCGCTAGGGGACTCTCGGGAAATCCCCTGACGGAACTCAACCTCGAGATGCCCTTGTATATTGGAGGAGTCAAGTGAGTTTTTTTTAAAATTAAATATCTGACTTTTAATCTTCTTTCGATCTTCGAATTTAATCGATCGGAATTAATTTACTATTGATATGCATTTTATTTTAATTTCATTCTTAACAATATAGAATAATTTATATCCAAGAATTTAAATGACTAATATAATTTCCAGGAGAAATTCAATAAAATCGTAACGAGTCGGGATTTATCGATAAAATTTATCCGCCAGTGAAATAACTCATTAAAACGTTAGTTCATAAAAACGAGGCAATTCGGGGTTTTATAACTTGTAGATTAACCTGTGTACTTTGAATTTTATAGACACTGGAGAGAAGTCCATCGTTTTGCTGGGGCTTGGACTGGTTTAGTCGGTGCTGTTCAGAGATTAATGGTCAATGGCAAAACCTTCCAGAATCTGGCTGTAAACTTCACTCAGCACAATACAGAAGTGTACGACGGTTTACCATGTCCCAGTAACGAGAATCCCTGTCACAATGGGGGTGTGTGTTTGCCACTTCTGAATAGCTACCTTTGTAAATGCGCAAGTGGTTACAGCGGACTCCACTGCGAATTTTGTAAGTTTTGGATTAACAGTCTAGTTTCTCGTTGTTTGTATTTTCAATCCACCAAAATATTACTTTTCATTCACCAAAATATTACGAATGCACGACGATTTTCAGTCATTTTCACAAAATCTCATCGTTATCTTTTCTCATTGTGAAACATTTTCCTTATTATTCCGTTATCTTCTCCAATTATTTTACAGTTTCCAAAAAATCCCATTTTTTCTCCTTATGCAAAAATCTGTTATTTTTTAAATTATCCATGTTTAATAATTTAAAAAATTCAGTGCCTTTTCTGTATCTCATCTCTAGACAATAAATATTCTATCTCTCAGTCAAAATAATTAATTTTAGTCATGGGATTTGACGTCTCGGGTGGTGAAATATCAGACAGACCCGTAAGATTCGACGGAGATAATTTCCTCCAGTTTAAACATCGCTACAGCAGAAGGTCAGTTAATTATCAGTATTCATCTGATGCATTTCCACTACTAATTAACTAACAACTCCTTCATTGTAATCAGTACTAACACATCTACCAGCAATATCACGTCCACAACTTCCGAATATTACGAGGAGTCGTACTCTGACTACGAATTCGAAGAGGATCTCGATCTTGAATACGATAATTACGACTACTCAGAGTAAGTGAATCTGACCCAATCCCGTTTTATTCCTCTATTATTCCTTCATGTATTGAGAATGAGCTAGAATTGAAGTATTTATACCAGATCCAACTACTAACTTTCTGCAGTCCATCATCTAAATTCTAGCATTCTCAATTATTAATTCTAGTGAATTATTAATAAAAATGAATTAAATAGATAAGCTGAAAATTCCCCGAGTACTAGACCCGATACCATTATCATTACATGAGTATTTAACGAATGAATTCACAGACGAAAGGGTCAGCAGTCAAATAAATTTGAGTTGCGACTTCGCACAACGCACTCAAACGGGTTAATAGCTTGGATTGGTCGAGGTAAACTGGAACACCTGATTCTCTCCCTGGAGGAGGGCTATATCTTGCTGACATACAAGGGAAAACACGATCACGTCACCCTGAAGTCCCGAGAGCGAATAGACGACGGGATATTTCACCACATAAAGGCAGCCCGTAAGAAGAAAATGACAATTATTCAAATAGACGAGCAGCCCCCGGTGAAAGTCGCGACAGAAGTGACTCTTCTGACGACAAATGGAAAACTCTTCGTTGGGGGGAAACCAGGACACCAGGGGATCAGGGGGTGTGTCACAGACTTCATAATTGATAAACGAAGACTTCCCCTAGCCCGACGAAAGATTGACTTCTGCCATGACAACGATGTATGATAGTCAACAAGTACTTCACTCACTTCTAGATAATGAGACGTCCAATAGTATTCTCACTCAAGTACAATTACCGATGATGAAGAATACCCATTTTTTGAGGGATGAAATTTGATGCTTGATCTATTAATCGAGGATTAATTGGCTCTGGGAGATACTCGAGTTTATTAATCAATTAATTGAAGAGCTTTGGGATTGCTTCAAGTCTTTATGAGAGGTGACATATTTTTTTGGCAATTTTTGTGCAATGTTTATGGGACACGGTCTTTATCATTTCCACGTTTGATCGGCATTTTTCGAGATGAATTGATAATGAGTTTAAATTTTTAATCGGTACATCTCTTCTCAATTCTCAAGTAAAATAAAAAATTGGAAAAGAAGTAGAATCGATAATTTCATATGAATGATTCGCTATGAACTCTCTGATGAAGACTGAAATTTCCCCTAGTCCTTCTCTTAATTAACCTGAATAATCGATTACTGCAACGAACAATCACGAGATTGAATGACTAGTGAAGTGTTGATGTGAAAGAATAAATAAACTAAGTGCTACATTTTCATCGAAGGACAATAATATATTTTTAAGACATGCATAGAAACGAAGAGTAATTAACGACTAATGATAGATGATCTTGAGGGGATTACGTATGAATTAATGATCTGCTTGATTCTTCGAACGTGACCTTGAGGTATTTAAGGTACGTCAAGACTGATTATTGCGGAGATACTTTGATTGTAAGGAGATTATCACGAAGTAATTATGAGTAATTTGGTGTTATGTTTGAGTGTAAGGTAGAGAGATTTAATATTATGATAATTGATAGATAGAAAATATGTATTTTAACGGACTGTTGAGTTATGCCAGTAGATGATGAACATTGTTTGAGGTAGCAAAAGCTTTTTACAAATGCGCAGACATAGAGAGATATCCGATAAATTCAGGAGTGATGGGATTTTCAAGCGGAACACGTCAATCCTCTGATCTTTCTGATTTCATCCCACCATTCCTAAATTTCATCGAGTCACAATCGATATGTAACATTCCATTTATTGGACACCTCGAGATTATGGATAAATATAAATTAATGAAATCGATTAATTAATATAAGAGTTAGCGATAAGGGTACGCGAAGCGATAAGAAAATCGAGGATTATAATTATTAACCGTTAAAGGAAACCTGTATAACAAATTCAGTGGAGTGTGAATGGGGGACTTTGTAATTGAGTGGAACAATCGAGTTTACTTGTATTTTCTGATAATTTCTCTGGGATATGTCTGTTTTTTTAATTTTCGAAGCTTTTGGTGTCCACTCAATTAATTAGTGAGAGTGAATGAGGATATATGGAAAGAATAATCATATCTCACAGAGTATGTAAATAATCGTAATTTCTTCTACCACTCGTGAATTTCCTCACTACTGCGTGAATTTAAATTGTGCTAATGTTGTTAACGACCTAAACGTAACTCACAATTGGGCCTTTTAATGTCATCCAATTTTTGTAAATTTCTCCGATGATTCTAGCTCTTCCTGTTTTATCTATTTTCGATTTTTGTTTATGGATTTTTATTTTTGGGATTTGCTGTTGGCAAAAGTCGATGGAGAAATGGAGAGAGAAATTCTTGAACCATTCTCGGGATTTAGTTTGGAAAAATCTCGAACTTTTGAAAATAATTGGGGATTTTTCCAGTAGTTCTCGGTTTTCGGTTGAATTATTTCGTAAGGAGAGACGGAACAATTGTATACGTTTTTGGGATAATGAGGAACGGGGGCGTTACGAGAGGACGAGGTGAAGTGGTTTCAAGGCAAAACCCGCAATTGTATTTTTTTTTAATTTGAGAAAAATGAGACTAGATACTTCAAGACAAAAGACAAACCCTTTAGTTTGTCGATGTTGTGGAGTAGATTGTAAGTTCATCTGGTGATTCAATCATTTTTTCCTGAAGAGAATATTTCTCCTTTTTTGGGAAAGGAGAAATACATCAGGCATTATTTTTGCACTTGAAAATTGAATTGGAAATCATGATTGCACTGAAACATGTCGATAGGTTTGGCTTGCCTCTGTGCGAATAATCAGACGAATTGACACCTTTTTCTGGGAAAATTAAATTTCGATAGGTTTCCGATATGACCCACGATTTCGACACAGTGAAGATTCCGATTGAGATGAATCTGACATATCTATCATGAGACAAATATGCAACAAGCTACAAAATTGTTAACTTCGTTTTTTTATCGGGACTTTTACTCCTGGATTTTTTACATCGAACATATCTTATTCAACCTACATATCGTACGGTCAGTAATATCAGTCTACGATTAACAAATCACCAAGGGAATGCCACGAATTGGGATAAAATGCACAAGTAATTTTAGTACTGAGTGGAGGAATTTGTTTTTTTCTTTAAAAAAAAGTCACTCTTCCACAGGGGAAACTATTCTTGGTGGTAAAAAGAAATTTTTAGAACAAAAACAAACACGAGAAATTTTCTTCTTGATTATAAAATTGGAAATTGAATTTGCGTCGAGCTTCGTTCCAAGCGCCTGGAACGGCCTAAACTACCGAAAAAATATTTAAAAAAAAAAGAAAACGAGAGACTTTGAACTTTGAAGAACTCTTTACATCTTCGCGCGTCGATTCCCAGAAATTCCTTCGAATTTAAACTGCCAACTTGATCCCGATGACGTGACATCTTTGAGAATCAATTAAGAAATAAAAATGGAGAGCAATGAGTCTATGCCTCGTTTAAAAATCATAATTACACCTCGGAACTTTTATAAAGTTCGTTTGTGTAATTGTTACCTCTGCGCGAAGGTTTTACACCTCATTAGTTTTTTACTTTGATACCGTCATACTGTGACTGTAACATTTGAAAGAATTTAAATTCTACTGGAGCTATTATGTAACGCGCATTGTAATGTGAACTGTATATAAATATATAAATTATGCAATTATATGTGTTTTTTTTCGACTCCTCAACGTTTTCACTGGAAGTTATGGGGTAAAATGAAAAAAAAACAGCCAGAGAGATTTAATTTTTTGTATAAAAATTTATGGAACCACGGTCTATATCACATATCACAATTATCCGATGACACTTTACAATATTTACAGCGAGGTCACTCACACTGTCGCACAGAGTTTATTCACCATTTTTTATTCGTCAGTGGACGTCTTTCTTTGCATCTTCAATCTTCTGCTTGAAATACGCACGGATTTCGGCGATTGGTTTCACAAGAAATATTGGAACGTCGTCATCTCGTCTCTAGAAACAGCAATTAACGAAAAATTATAACCGATTTTACCTATCACAAAAAGAGAAGTATTTGCAAATTTGTCTGAAAAAAAAAGGTAACTGATAAATTATCTCGTTCTCCATTCAATTATTAACGAATAAATTAATATTCAATCAATAAAAATTCTTCAAAAATTCTGACAAATGAAACAATGAATTTCAGAAGGTAGAAAAATATGGAAGAACGATGGAGATTAAAAAAGAATGGAGTGACAGATAAATATCTGGGTGATTAATTAATTAATGATAAATACCTGAAAAAGAACTTCGCCCTCGAACTCAATCATCCCCTGTTTCCTCGCCCTCAGCAGCAGTCCCACACACTTATCACTAATTGCAACATAAATATTGAACAAATCCCCAAAGGTAATCCCCATTATTTCCGGATGGTCTTTGCACGGTGTACCATTCTGCTGAATTATTTCACAAAGCTCCAGCATTTCTCGTAGAATATGTGCAGTAGCTTTTCGTCCACGTATGTCCGACAACGATCCAGCAGCTGGTCTTCCATATTCTTCCTTTGAAAATTTCGGTTTGTCCAGGTTTAATCCACTTGTAAAAGGATTTCTGCTTTGACTCGCCATGTGGTTGTTCGCTTGTTGGTTGAACATTGCAACTTTATCACTCAACGACACCTTAAATAAACAATAAAAAATTGATTCCCATTTCCCCACACAACAAATTCCACTCCTATCCACAATTACCAGACAAGTAATTGCATTAAAATGCAATTTGCATGCAATTATCCAGATTTTTGTAAATCAGACAATGATCAATAATCACGTCACCCTTTGCTAATTACTATAATAATTATGATTGGTTACTATTTGTTGTTATTGCCTGAATTATTTTCCGGTTGAATTGAATCTCGTCAGTTTAATGGATGCCTTTAATTTGCTGTAATTATTCACATGAGTCTGAGTTCGCAGAGAGAAGTAAAAACAACTTGAGAACCGAGTAGCAGGCAGAGAGAGTATTTGTGGAGCTTCTAATTCCCGGTAATGACCCTTCGACCTTTACAAATAGCTTTCATGTGTCATTCTCCCCTCCATTAAAAAAAAAATCATTCCAATCTATGAATTTCCCAAAATCCCACCGTGCCCATTAAAAAACCCACCACAGAATTTGTTATCGTCCGCAACAATTGATTTTTCACGATATAAAATAATTTTTAAACCTAATCTATATTTTTAGTTTTTTCTTGCAGATTATGACAGGACATCCCTTAAATAACCACCACTGAATGAATGAAAAATGACATTCACTGACTCTTAAGTAAATCACTTGAGCTCTTGATTTATCTCAGGACACGACAGATCGACTGACAGACGTCTTGTGAATTGATTTACCCGGGTGAATCGGATGGATCTACGACGATTAGAGGAACGAGGATATGTGAAATATTTGGATGTCATCCAGATTCCTCATGGTGGCCCTGATCACGACAACTCGTGGCATTTTGTCAAGTTAATAGTGTCTCTGACGAGCAAGTACACTCTACTGACACGTGAACACTGCACGAGACTCGAAGGGAATTTTTTGTAATTAATCGATGATGTAAAAGTGACTGTGACAATCGACATCATCGATTCATCATTGAAAAAAAAATCAACATCCAAGCGACCAATCCGTTGGAATCGATTTTGACAGTTAATCTTTTTTTAGTAAATTTTGCTATTTCTATTCAATTCGGGGATATTCCGAAAATTATAAGAAAGGAGTGGACTTTGACAGATTTTATCTCTGTGGAACTGAAGTGTTGTTAAAAAAAATTTTAATTATTAAGACAAAATGTACTTACAAACATCGCCGTCGACATGGTGTACAATTAAAATCTTCACAAACACAAATAAATAAATAAAATATCCCGGCTTTTGGGAGTATTTTCCGACCGACTAAAATAAATTGTAATTAACCAAAAAAATACTGCAGGTATTAATCTGGAATTGAATAATTGATTCACGATCGAAAAAATCCGGAGGGAGAAAATCGTTACCGCCGGCAAGACGTGCGTCTCGTGAATACAATCTCCCACTGCTGTTCAGGTCTCTTTATATAAACCCGAGTGGGAGACCGTGGATTTTCTCTCTTTCACAGATCGGCAAAAATATTTTCCCCAACTCAGTGTCTTTTCCATGCCAATTTCGAGTACCAGAGGTTCGTCTCCCCCACGCAATTATTTGGTTCATTGCCAGATTTAAGTACGGGCCGAGTATCTCTGTGAATCCGGTTATAAACCAAACAATTCCGAGGGTGAAAATGAGGAAGAATGAATATGTGAAATGATGAGAGAAGTGTGAAATGTGCATCCCGATTATCTTAGCAAATGTTCTATAAAAACCTGAAGCGCACGACTAATGGTTTCAAAATTTGAATTTTTTGTAAATAAAATGTTCGTAAATATTTCGCAAAATATTGTTTATGTACCGACAAGCATATATATGGTAATTGAAATGAAATGGTTCAAAAATGTTTAAATCTTGATATTAATAACGACTAGTCAAACGCCACAAAATTCCGCTCATCTTTATATCATTTACGAGAAATGCGGAATAAATTCACCCCAAATATAACTTGGCAATTTAATCTCAGCATTTAATCGCGAATCGTTCACTCGTCCAAAATTAAAATCCACTAAATTATTCGACAGTCCCATAATCTCGATTTAGCATCTCAATTATTTTTAGATAATAATATTCAACCAATGAGTGCGAACTTCCCCTTAATTTCCGGTAATAAATTTTATTGAGTTATCCGCGATTGAGAAAATTTTTCAGCCGGAAAATTGAGGGGAAAATTTTGGGAATCATCGAATTCACCGAGAATTTCTCGACACGTGTTCAGGAGCTAAATCCCTGGCCGAAATATTACTCCGGTGTATAGATACACTCGTTACTTGTCATCTGTGATGTATGACTCGGATTAAATCGAACTATCTTTAATTTCCCACGAAATGCGGACGAATTCGCGAATGATTTCCCCCGGTGTCATGGGATCACCCATTTTTTTTTTTAGTTTAACTGGGGAATTTCAAGAGTGGGAGGCCGTTTCTTAAATTCGCGAACTCGCGGGACGAATTTACTGAGAGATAATTTTTTTACAAACATTTTGGACTATTTTATTCTGTTTAATAATTTCTCGCTGACTTTTCGGAAATTTTTGGTGTATTTACACCCCAGAGGAAAATTAATGAATTAAATTAAAAAAATTATTACCATCAACGCAATTTAATTTATTTTTATACGACACGAGACCGAATGCGCGCTCCACCCCCGCCATTTGATTTTTATCAAAATTGATTTTTATAAAAAAAGGACTTTCATTAAGAAATCTCAAATTTACTCGCACAAAATCTTTCTTGATTTTGGATTCTTTCGCAATTTGAAGACGTAGAAAAAAATTAAAAAGGGTGTCGAACCCCCCGCTAAAATATTCACCCCCCGTATTACCTAAAAAGGCGAGACATAAACTAGTGATGAAGGTTCCTATGTTTAGCCGGAAGTACGGATTTAACTCAGTTTTGCGTCGTCTCAGGCTGAATGAACGGTACGTCATTGGTGTATACCGACACGAAGTTGTAATCGAAATTCCTTCGGGGATACTCATGCGTCGAGGAGGCCATCATTCCCAGAATTCCCTACCGTCCATTGACGAATAATAACACACGTACCAATTCAACAATATCGCTCTCAATTTAGAACGACTGGCATCTCATTCCCGAGAGCTTGACGACATCGACTCCTCCGACCCACGCCATTGAACCCCACGAACTTCATTTTCGCTCGCCATTTTTTATTTTACACAAAAAAAAAGTTCATCAAGTATATCCAAATCGTCAATGTACTTGAGTAAAGTATATTGAAAAAATGGTCGTCATTGACTTGTAATTTTTATAAATCTTCACCATGAAAAATTGATGCAAAAGCTCGCGATAGACTAAACCGAGGACGTTAATTTCAATTTATTTTCATCGCCACCCGGACAATTTTTAACTCATCACAAATGTGGAAAAACCCATTACCCAATGGGACAATAAAGCGAAAATAATAGCGAGGATAATTCGGCTGGTGTGAAGAAAGCCTCGTAATAAAGTGCGCATCATCCACAGTACATTTGGCACGAGTTATTAAATCGCTAGGTAATTAGGCGTGTCTGTGTGAAAATCCTATATCTCACTATTTCTCAAACTCAAAATCTTCAATTCACTTTTGAAAAATTCCAATGCAGATCTCACCCGCTTTATTTCCCTCCCCGTTTGTCCTATTCAATCACTCTTTTTAACTAGATGATAACTCATTAATTATTCATATTATAGAACGCTTTCGACAACGTAATCTTTTTTAATAACTACTTAATTTAAAAATGTTATTAATTATTATTAATGATAACTTCAAATAACTTTTTTTCTGTTTGTATTATTTTTTTATGGCGATGAATGGGGCGACTGGCCGACCTGAAGGTTTTGGGACTTTAATTCGGTGGTAGGAAGTGGAAAATTAGAGGACAACCCGAAGGTTAATGAATGTTTATTCACATGGAGTTTAAGTGGTGATGGATGAAAAATGTCTCTGCTGTCATAAACAATTGGAGAATTAATAGAAAAAACAGTAGAGATAGAGAGTCAATCTTGCTCAGGGCCAAATACCGCGCCTCTTCCCATTTTTCCACTCACCGAATTGTTTTTAACACTCGAGAGATGATTGTTGTGCCGTTTTCAATATTCTGGCACGTGTCCTACACTCATCTTAAGTCTTATGTAATGGTAAATAACTATCAGCGAGAAACGTGAGATAAAGTCGCCGGACGGCACGTGTTTGCAGTCGAGATTTATTTACTATCTCATTTCAATAATTGTTGTGATAATACAGTGATAGGGACTAGTTTTTCATTTCCGACAACTCGTGGCAAACGTCCAGTTCCTACTTGATTTTGAGGTATTCGTGACTAATATTTCGGTGACTTTTGTGCCAAAATCGCGAGAAGAATCCCAACTCGCGCTCAGGAATGTCATTGATGTTGAAAATTTATTCGTCAACTGTTAATTTCCGTGCGAAATGAAATGTTCCATATAAGTTATCAAAAAGAGGCGTAAAAATTAGATATTGGGAGGCCATCCACGGGGGAAGTAAATTTTTCAATAAAAAGTGCAAGTGGTAAGTGATATCGTATGAATGGCCACATAAATTCAACGATTTATTGTCCTCACGGATCACGTGAATCGTTCCATAATTATATTGAATATTTCCCGCACGCGCGTGGAGAATAATGCGGTGAACGTTCAATCTCATTGACATCAATGTAAGGAGAATGGCCCCATAAGAATTTCTTTATTCACAATTCTTTGTTCTCCAGAAATATTTACGCCCGCCAAAACTGATTGGTCTGTGAACCTTTATTTACACACCCGCGACTTCATAACTCCTAATATACCGTTTGTTGTTCCAATAAAATTCAAGGCCATTATCGTGAGTAAGTTCCATTGGCGCGAGACGAAAATAAATAGCCACGAAAATTTGCCCGCAGTTTGTCAAAATAGAAATGGAAAAGAATGTATCTTTAAAAAAGAATTCGTTATCCCGAAGCCCGGCTATTTCTGGATTCCATTCATCATGTTTCCTCAAAAAACAGTGATTCTGAAATTGCTAACCTCGAAGCCTCTGCAGCAATCCCTCGAGGATGCTATTCCCGAATAAAGTTATGATCCTCAGAATTCTTGTGGCTAGTCCGGTGTCAGGATACATTTGCATCAAAACTCTGTAGATATAGACAGCATTGCTCCACCGTTTTCTTTTATGGCTCTTCCTCTGCTGCATAGCTGGAGTTCTTCACTGGACGAACCTCGGGAACAAAATAAACACTAGACGCGAAATACCGGTTTTTTAAACCGTCAGTTATTTGGACCGCCGAACCAACCAGAGCTGCCAGCGGTGGCATTGGCTCGCTGCTCCTATGCGCAGAGTCTATATTAGGGCCTGCGCGTCACTTCTTAACTTCACTTCAACTTCATCGGTCTTCGAGTGCACACCGAGAACAGCATTTGAACGCCTCAACAAAAATCATCGGTTCTTTTCAGGGCCCCAAAAAATTATTACGAAGGATAATATTAGTTTTATCAAACATTCTTATTAACGAAACTATTGAGTTAGCCTGCAATTTTTTTATTTCAAGGACAAAGTCCGTTCTTAATTTTTGGTTTGTCAATTATTCCGTCGATTTTCTCATCAAAATTTGAATTTTCAAGAACACGTCTAATTTTTTATGCTGCTTAATATTCATTATGCTAAAATGAAATACAATGACGCCAATGAATATTCAAAGCGTAAATTTTTTTTTCCAATCCTCAAGGAAAAAATTAAAAAACGACATCCTTGGCGAAATAGAGAATTCTCGGAATATTTGATAAAATCAAGTTATCCATCGCCGTAATTTTTTGGAGCCTTGAAAAAGGCAGAGAGTTTGTGTTGAGTCATCCAGGAGCTGCTCCCCTCGACTCTCACTCGAAGACGGATGAAGTTAAAATGAAGTCAAGAAGCAACGCGCAGGTCCCTATATAGAGTCTGCGCGCAGGACCGCCGAGCCAATTGTAGCACGGGTAGCTCTGATTGGAGCGGTGCTACAACCGCCGGAGGGGTTAAAACAACGGCGTTTCGCCGGCAGAGATCACTTCGCTCCTGATCTTCGTCCGGTCCAGAGCTCCAGCCAGCAGCGGTGATATCGGAATTCAACGGCCAAGCAGTGGAAAAGACGATCCAGAGGGAAAGCAGAATTGTGCTGCCTATATTGAAGGACACCCAACGCGGGTGGTCCAGCGACGCTGTGCTGTCTACATCCAAGGAGTCCTGAAGCGAGTGGTGCAGCGACGCTGTGTCGTCTACATCCAAGGAGTCCTGAAGCGAGTGGTGCAGCGACGCTGTGTCATCTTCCAATTTTATAATCGGCTCTTTTCAGAGCTCTGGAATTCTCAATCCGATCGATTCTTTTTTAGAGTCCTGAGTTTTTTTAATTCGGTTGATTCTTTCTAGAGTCCTGGGTTTTTAAAATTCAGTTGATTCTTTCTTGAGTTTTGGATTTTTTGCTATCCAATCGGCTCTTTTCAGAGCCCAGGAATTTTCATAATCCGATCGATTCTTCTTAGAGTCCTGAATTTTTATAATTCAGTTGATTCTTTTTATGAGTCTCGGATTTTTCGCTACCAATCGGCTCTTTTCAGAGCCCAGGAATACTCATAATCCGATCGATTCTTCTTAGAGTCCTGGATTTTTATAATTCAGTTGATTCTTTTTTGAGTCTTGGATTTTTTGCTACCCAATCGATTCTTGTCAGAGCCCTGGAATTCTCGATTTGCTAATTATTTTCAGGACCCCGGACCGGCGCAGCAGATTAGTCAACTGACTCTTAGAAAACGTGGATCGACACAGTGAATTACAAAATCAAATGGTGAGAGGTTTGGGAGGATCTTCGGAGTGGACAACTCAATCCAATTTGCAGAGCCCTGGATCTACGCACTCAACTCTTTGCAAAACTCTGGATTAAACAATCAGCCCTTCTCAGAGCTCTAGATAACTCAATTCGCAATCGGCCCTTTTCAGGGCCCCAAATTTTTTATCATATAGGCTAATATCGATTCGCTATCTACTTCGTTCAATATAAATTGCTATCTTATTAATTATTCCGTAATTTGTGATGGTTCAACTTTTCAAAAATGGCCAAGAGATCTTGTTAGTAATTCACACTTGAAACCAATCGGCTCTTTTCAAGGTCAACAACTCTATCGACGTAAAAAATTAACGAGAATTCGTATTTGAAAAATCTGAAAATCTATGAAATCTCATTGGTCAAGGAAGCGAGCTTTTGATTGGCTAATGGTCTTGTGGAGGGGGGAAACGTGAGGAATGATTATAAATAAAGGAATTTCGGAAAACCTCCTCAGTTTCGGTTCAGATTTCCAAGCGAATGGATCAAGTCGAGAGAGAAACGATTATCTCTAATTCAAACCTCGTGGGTGCTAATGATAACTTCAAGTATCATCATTTGATGAAAATTTTTGCGCTTCTAAACCTAACTTCCATTACTCTTTCCTTCCTGGATTCTTCGCCGATTTTGAAATTAATACGGAGATCGCGATCGCTTGCAATAAGTGGGAAATACTTAACCAGATAGAAATTAAAATTTATAGTTGGCTTCTTTCGTGTCAAAGAGAGATTTGAGTTTATTTTTAGTTTCAGTAATTCGACTCGTTGAAATAAATATTGCAAAAGAAATAATATTCCGAAACACAATAATACAATAATTAATTAAGTGGTTATAAAAATAATAAAATAATTCCATTTTTAATTTAAATGAGATTAATTTTGTAAATTTACCTAAATTCGAAGTGGATGAATCGACGAAAAGGATTTCATACATTAGTGTTTAGTGGTGCCTAATCTTAATTGCATTGATAATTTACATTTAAAATAAAGTTCGACAGTGCATTCTGAAACAACATCAAGTGTATATTGTGAATATAGTGCAGTGAAAGTGGTGAACAATTATTAGAGGATTCCCTGCTATATCAATGGTTGTACCTGCAGCATCATCTCCCGAGTAATGGTGAGTCATATGAAAAAATATAAGTACGAACTGGCGGTGAGATCGACATTCATCCCTTCGATAGGAATTTAATATTTTCAATCGATAACTATTAAAACTCCGCGACACAATCTGTGACAGAGCTGAACGCATTTATTTAAGAAATAATTATAAAAAGCATAAGGGGGAAAATCTATAAATATCGAAAAATTGTAAAGGCAAGAAAAATTCTCTCAACATTAAAGGGGAATTTTCAGACAACAATCCTCAAAAAATTTCTAAAATTCTCCAGAATTTCCTCACCCTTCGGAACTCTGGCGTGAATTCGTCCATACTCTACCAAAAAAACAAAGTTTCTTTATTCTATTAACATCGATTTTCAAAAACGTCCCGGTACTAGTTCCATCAACATTTCGACGGAATTCTTGGTGTAATCAGTATGATTTTTTTTTTGCTGAACCTCCTCTTATTCATGCATAATTTGACGGTAGAGTGAAGTTTACAGTGCATACGCTGAGTGCAATTATGAAACGTAAAGAAATGTGATTTGATGTGCATTTTTTCTTCCAAACACTTGTTCTACGATTACTCATTAATTAAACCGGTAAGTCTATTAATCAAGTGTAATTCTGATTATATAAATAATTATTGCAGTGTTATTATCCATTGTAACAATCATAATCATTACGAACAAATAAATAAGGATAATCGATAAAAATAATTGTTGTTATTCATATTTAATCAACATTTTTTTTCGTTTAATTGGAAAATAATTGGAATAGCGATTTCTAAAGAATCTTTTTATTATTCCTATTTATATTTTATTCCAACAAATTCTATATATTTATGATCCGTTCCTTTTTTCCAATTTTGCGTATTTTTATGTTGAAAGAATTTATTCAATAAAAAAAAGTGACAGCTCAATTTCTCGCGGCCATGTTGTTTGGACTTGCGCAATTGAAAGAGAGGTGAAGCTTTTGCGAAACCGACAGTCGTTTTGTTTTGTCGTCTCACACCGACAGACTTGTTTCCCTTAAATACGTGACCTCCGACTAAGATCTTGGCCCAACGATCACAGGGGTGAGTTCATTACTCATTGATTTCATTAATTCAATGACAATTTTAAAGTGTGATAGCCAAAGTCGTCGGGGGATTGTTCACCCTGTATATTATTTTTTTTCCGAGCCGAGGGTTCAACCGGCCTGGAACGTATTGATTCCACCGGTCTCGGTAAATTCAATAAATCAAAATTATCACTCAATTGCATTAAACTTTAATAGTCCAATGTAATTCGTGAGGAATTGAAAAATTATCTGAAGTTCTGTGGAAATTGAAAATTAAACTCTCATGATTTGTTTCCCATTTCCATTTGTTCAATTACAATGAAAAAAAAAAAAAAACGATTAGCTAAAGAATATTTTTTGGTAATTTTCCTCGATTTTTAATAATAAAAATATTTGTTTTCTTCTGGACGATCAATGATTTTATCATTTTTCTTTCATTATTGTTTATATAATATTTTTATTCTTTCACAACTTATTATTTTTAATTATAATCTTCATTTTCTTTATGAGACGAATGTAATAAAGCCGATTACGGCATGAAAGGGTGAACAATAGCGGAGAATTTTATTGAGTAAATAATCTCTATATTTAGCTTCATCCCCCGGTTTCATTACCTTCACGTATATATGGTATCGATACCATTGTGGAACTTCTTCCGATATTCCTGATTATGGGTTCGCCAGTTCCACATCGAGTATTGAATCCCAATTTGCCATTCCTCAACCCCCAGACCAGTGCAATTTCACCTCTCGAGATTCTTCCGGGTTTCCCAGTCAACCATCAATTTCCTCCTCACATTTCTCCTTCAATTCTCGCTATCCCGCAATCTCCAGACCCACTACTCCATCTAATATTCAAATATAATCTAAAAACTCATCTTCTCATTAAATTCTCATTACAATAAAAATTACATTATTATTATTTTGTACTTCAACCCCAAAAAATCGGTGTTCCATTTAGATTTCATATCAAAGTATTTAAAAAATTGATAATTAAATTTTTTTTTGAATTAACGCGTATCACAATTGAAAAAATTAAAAACGCATGGATTTCCATATTCAAATGATTATAATAAATAATAAATCGACACTTTCCTGTAAAATTCAGAAAAAAATACGTGTCCTCTTCCTCACCATTTAACAATATCATCGGGATCGAATAATGAATATCGCGTGGTTGAATCAATTTATCTCCAGATCTTCAAGATGGGCAAGGAGAAGGTGCACATAAACATCGTGGTAATAGGCCACGTAGATTCCGGAAAATCTACGACAACGGGTCACCTGATTTACAAGTGCGGAGGTATCGACAAGCGGACAATTGAGAAATTCGAGAAGGAAGCGCAGGAGATGGGTAAGGGATCCTTCAAGTACGCCTGGGTCCTGGACAAGTTAAAGGCCGAGCGGGAGAGAGGAATCACTATCGATATTGCCATGTGGAAATTCGAGACCTCCAAGTACTACATTACGATTATCGATGCACCTGGGCACAGGGACTTCATCAAGAACATGATAACAGGGACTTCCCAGGCAGATTGCGCCGTTCTCATTGTCGCTGCGGGGATCGGGGAGTTTGAGGCGGGAATTTCAAAAAATGGGCAGACACGAGAGCATGCGCTTCTCGCGTTTACTTTAGGGGTGAAGCAGCTGATTGTTGGGGTTAACAAGATGGATATGACCGATCCACCGTATTCGGAGACTAGGTTCGAGAGAGATTCTAATTGGTTACTTTTCATTAACCCGAAAAGTCGAGAATAATTAAGACATATTCAATCTCTTGTGATGATTCTTGAAGGAATTACGATTTTAGTTATGATCCTTAATCATATTTTAATTGAATAGGATTTTTATTTGAAGTAAACTATTAAGAATAATGAATTCAAGTAAAGAAAATAGAGTTAGGCGAGGTGCGATATTTGAGAAGAATTTGTTCCCTGCAGATTCGAGGAGATAAAAAAGGAAGTCTCGTCGTACATCAAGAAGATCGGCTACAATCCGAATTCGGTGGCATTCGTACCCATATCCGGATGGTATGGTGACAACATGTTGGAGTGTTCACCCAAGACTTCTTGGTACAAAGGTTGGAAGGTAGCGAGAAAAGACGGCAACGGGGAGGGAAAAACTCTTATCGAAGCACTCGATGCTATCCTCCCACCGTCTAGACCCACTGATAAGGCCTTGAGATTGCCTCTTCAGGATGTCTACAAGATCGGGGGGATAGGCACGGTACCTGTTGGTCGAGTGGAAACGGGAATATTGAAACCAGGTGCCAAAAAATGCTCAAAAATATCGATTTTGAGAATTGTATTTTTTCTAGACACAATGCGCACTTTGCGCGTTACAGTGAAGCATGCAGTTGATTTTTTTTTATCAAATTTTCTTCAATGAATCGTTACTTTCTTGTAGATTCAAAATGTAGATGGCATTTCAAAAAAGGACGATATAAGAATTTTCAAAACTTTGACAATTTCCGCATAGAATTGACAAAGTTTTTTAAATCAATTCAACCGAATATTTTTGAGAAAAACACTCGGCTATCGTTATTATTCAAGGGATGCTCGTGACATTCGCTCCAGTAGCTCTGACTACCGAAGTGAAATCCGTAGAGATGCATCACGAGGCCCTAACGGAGGCCGTCCCCGGGGACAACGTCGGCTTCAACGTGAAAAATATATCTGTGAAAGAACTCCGTCGGGGATACGTCGCTGGAGACTCGAAGAATCAGCCTCCAAGAGGCGCCCAAGATTTCACCGCTCAAGTGATCGTCCTGAGTCATCCTGGACAGATCAGCAATGGTTACACACCAGTGCTGGACTGTCACACCGCTCACATCGCCTGCAAATTCGCGGAGATCAAGGAAAAGTGCGATCGTAGGACCGGAAAAACCACTGAGGAAAATCCCAAGAGCGTCAAGAGTGGAGACGCTGCTATCGTCGTGCTGCAGCCGACGAAACCGATGTGCGTCGAGGCTTTTCAGGAATTTCCACCCCTCGGACGATTTGCTGTGCGCGATATGCGTCAGACCGTTGCTGTGGGTGTCATCAAGGTGATTATGAAATTTTACCAATTTTTCCGCGAGATTTTACCGGGAAAAACAAGAGAAATCTCCAATTTTTATGATTTAAAGATAGCGACATATTGGAAATACCGCTTTCTGTGGAAATTGTTGAGATTTACGAAAAAGGTTGTTTGGAAAAAATCGATTAATCTCTATGTTTCGGACATAATTAATAATAGAACCAATGATACGATGAATCGAGCTTTAGATCTGTTTACCGCTTGCTGATTTATTTCCGACCATTCGGAGATTTCTAAATTTTGATGGATGAACTATTTTTAGGGAAATTGTTTTACGAGATTAGATATTCCTAGAAGACGTGAGTCAACTCGTGTTTTAGGAAATTCTCGAGCCTTGAGTTATCGTAGTGATTTACAGATTTGCAATTTTAAGTTGAAACTCTTGTCGTATTCGTCAACTACGAATTTCAAAGTCGCTATTTTTTTTATATTAATTAAGTATAATTGATTTCAAGACAATAAACAATTTAATTGATTTAAAATATCATAAAATTGATAAATCAGACGGGAAAGCAAAAGAGGAATTGACGAGGAGTCACGAAAATTCTACCGAAATTTTTTAATTTTTCTAGAGTGTAAACTTCAAGGACACCCAGGGAAAAGTAACAAAAGCAGCAGAGAAGGCTCAGAAGAAGAAGTAACCATCAAGCTTCCTCGGAAGCCACCGGCAGATAATCATAAATCTCTCAATCCTAAATCCCAACGAGCGTTTAAAAATTGCCGATAAACTCCTATCCCTAACAACCAACGATAATCAACAATTATCGTACTCGATGTTGCCCCTGAATTACCCAGTAGTACTAAATCCCCGTATTTACCCGAATTTACACATACAATTTACTCATGCACCTAGAACACCACCCATATGCTAGGGATGATTTCCCCTCTCATCGCAATTGAATTTTAGATGAGGAAAAGTCAATCAAGAATTGCTTTATCGACCTCAACTGAATTATCATTTATTTGACAATGCCAAAAATTCTCTGTTCGATTTTTGCTCGGAAAAATCGACTAGAGTGTCAAATAATTTGACGCATTGGAAAATAATTGATTGTACGAGAGATATTTATTTCCTCATGTTGACTAAGCCAATTGGACTTTCAATTTTTAATCTGGAGACTAGACTGCACTCGAGGACGAGAGACTGATGACAAGAGCTGATGACAGGATTTTCGTCTAGTTGTTATTGCGTTCTTGTGTATTTAATTTTCACTGTTATTACTATTAATACCGGATATTTACTTGGAATGACTATTCGTGTGGTATTGCCAATCAATTTCTGCGATTGTTTTCATTACAATTTTTTTATAATCCCTTTAGTGAAATAAAGACTTTTTGTTGCACAGGGTTTTGTGAATTGTTTCTTTCTCGATAATAGTACGTTATCAATTGTTGATTTCATTGATATTCAATCAATGAAAAAATAATGATACGATCGTGGTAAATATAATTTATTAATCATAAACTCATAATCAACTCATAATCAACATTGCTTTATGTACAAATATATTCAATTCGAAATAAGAACTTAACAGTACTTGATTCATATTTATCATCATGATTTAATGTAATGCAGGTCTCGGTCAGTCTTTAATCGCTGAGGGCCTCCCAGTAATATATTGCATTTAAAATGGGCGTCAATTAGACCTCTGAATCATCAGTTAATGCAGGCATTGGCAACTGTCACATGACAGCCTCTCGAAATATTAATGTTTGCACATTATTTGAGCGGATTCATTACACCATCATTCCAATCGATCAGAGAAAATAAGATCACAACATTGTTATTCGAGAAAAAATCATTAGTATCCAAAATGGACGAGTCAGTTAAACAAACATTTCATACTAGATGAGTATTCATTTAATTGCTCCAATTTTCTGTACAGTAAAAAATCTAGATTGATTGAATCACAAGCAGCAGTTCAGTGTCGGTGGATATTGTATCAAAAGAATATCATAATAACAGTTTTAATACTGATTGGTGCACAATGCCGATCAGTAGTCACTCCCAACTTGCAAACTCGCAATAAAAATTATGGAAACGCACATGAAATATTAATTGAGAAATTTGAGGCTTTTTTGAAGAAATTGTATTGAATTTTTATTGAAGTTCTGTTATTAGAATTTTTATCTAAAAAATCAATACGTTTTTTCAGGCCGACAGATTATTATTCTTCCTCATGAGAAAATCTGAGAAAAAAGTCTTGAATATCGTCAGAGCTAAAGAAGCTCAATCCGGTATACACGAAAGATTTTTGCAAACAACTCAGTATCTCTCTCAGATTCAAAGATATTTCTCAACCTATTCATTAAATCAACAAATTCGATAAAATTTATTCGAGAAAGCGGATTTTCCTTAAGATTTTTATATTTTGGTTTTTTTACGTATAAAAAAAGAAGAAGACAACAATAGTGAGAATTAAATGACGATGACCGCTCATAAATGGCACAAAATTTGATACGAACGCCAGTGATCACCTGTAAATGCGATATTCCACTGAATTGATCTCCAGTTTGCACTCACGAAGATATTTCCACCAGAAATAAAAATATTGAACGTCTCCCCCAAGAATCTACCACCAGGTCTACGTGTGCTCGTGATGAGGACTTTGGTCCTGGCCCCAGGGTGTCATCTGAGCCTGATTGAAATTCACAGAAATGGTGATGGGATGGAGGACGGTTTCAGGCCCAGTGTCAGGCACAAAACTCAGCTGTGGCCTGAGAACTGACGATTCAACAGTCAAGGGAACATAAAAATTTCCACCATCGTGAAGTGCAAACACTGGAACTCCGTGGGGCTTATCCGATGGTGGAGGACTCGATTTAACTCTTTCTGCTGAAAATCTCTGCTTTATTGAACTCTTGAATTTGTAATTCGTGGGCCTCTGGTGGGACATTGATGGGGGACTGTGGGACTGACTGTCAGTGTGACTTTGATTGCTGTCATCTGAAACAACTGTTGGTGGTGGAATGATTGGCCTGGGGCGCTCAGGGTCCTCGAAGGAACTCACTCCTGAGCTTGACCCCTGATCTGAATGCATCGCTGGTGGACAGATATTCGAGATGCTCGTGTGACTGAATTGTGGAACCGCTGAACCCTGGGGGGGCTCCGGATGTGGGAACCCCAGTCTGTCACCTAAAATTGTATAAACTTGTTTAATTAAGTTTATTTCTAATTATCCATTTGTATCACGCGATTTTATAATTGAACTGTTCAATCTCAGGAGTTAATAAAAAATAATGAGGAAAACCAACTTGTAGCTAGGATTTTTTCGCAATGCTGCTGGAGATGACTGATTAACTGAACACAAAGTGAATCTCTCGCAAAAAAACCCTCGACTTCCACCAGGAAATGCATTGTCTCACTGAGACACTCCTGGAAACCTAATCTGTAGTGTTCGGCAGCTGGTGAACCACTTGGAGAGTGGGACACACTGTCGACACTGTCTTCAGGATGATGAACTGCAGCTGCTGCTGGTGGTTTAGTGTCTGTAATTAATTAAAAACCCATAAACAATTATTTCCTCCTGCAACGTAATTTAGAATTGCGAATTAAAAAATTAGTCGCACAATTTTTTTCCTTTTGTATTTCTTATTTTCTTGTGTGAGTCATTTAAAAATAATTTGAGAGGAGTTTTATGGGGAAATTAATTAGGAAAGAACGTGGGAGAAGGATCTTAGAGACAATTAATTAGTTCGATTTGATTTATTGAAGTACCTTGACGAGACCCTTGGAGATATTTCATGTGACGAATCGCCATCTCGATTATTTCTGTCTTCTCCACACGTCCACGACCTTTTTTTAAGTATTCTGCTGGAATCAATCGACTCAGGTCAGCTAGGCAATTGTTCATACGATCTCTTCTCCTTTTTTCGATTATTCTGTGGGACATTGGGTCTTGCTGCAACAAAAATGTACGGAAATCTAAGGATATTAATTTTATTGGGATAAAAATTCGTTGTGAATGATAAAATAGCGTCATTTTCAGGAGAATTTGTGCGTTTTAATAGTAATTCATAGTAATCTACCTAATATTAATAATCAGGGGAACCTCCCGAGAGAAGAACTAAATGAAATGACGAATACGTAAAAGGAGTCAGTTGATTCAGAACAATTCGGTTCTCGAGAAAAATTTCCGAATTCACCAGCGATATCGAAATTTTCATATAAACTTTTTTTGTAACTTGAATTCCCCTTGGGAAAAGCTTTTCTATAAAAAATATCGATATCTCTAAAAAATTCGGGGATATCCCTTGAACCGCAAAAAATGGCTAATTAACTTCACAAAAAAGTCTCAATCACCAAAAAAACCGCGAATTAAATTCACGAAAAATCACCTCTTTATTCAAACATCTCCTTTTCCTCGGAGGCGAATGTGGCGCCTCGTCATGATTCGTCACCGCATAATACTGCATATTCAAAATATTTTCCATACTGTGCGTCACCATTGCAATTTCTAAAATCTTTACAATCCGCGGATTCACTAAAAATTCCAGAGAACTCGTCACCCTCACTCAACTTCTCGCTCCCTAACAATTTCAAGCGATCAATCGAACAAATCAATTCACCAATATATCACTGAATTCCTCCCCCAGTCGTTCACCTCCAGTCCATCAACAATTAATCAGACTAATCAATTAAACCAATCACTGCACCGAGACGCGAATCACGAATCGCAAATCGCGACTCACTAATTGTTATTCCCGTAGTAATCAATCCGGTTATTATTTCTATTTATTAATGCAACCGTAATTGACAATCGAGGATTATACGGTGTAAAAAACAAATAGTCCAGAGATTGACTTGATTCGACTTTTATGCGATTTTCCGATGAATTACTATTTAGCAATTATTGCAGTTGTTGCAATTGTTGACTATTTTTGCAACTATTATTTTTTTAATGTCTCTCGACGAGACAACGAATGAGACTGAGCCGAGAACTAGTCGCGCCGATGGCTCTCGATGTTTCAGAGTCCCGTACGATTGGACGACTGTGGACTGGTCTCAACCATTTCCTCCACTACTTATGCGACTTTGTGGGACAATGCGATATACACGATATACCCGATATACCCGTCTTCCCCTACCTCGAGCCATCCAAAAGAGAGGAAAAAAAAACATTTTGTTATGTATCATCACGTGTTTTACGCGCTGTTATGGACAACACGTGAGAACTTATTTTTTTTTTATCAGTCCTCATTTTTTCGGATCTCCCATGACACGTGGATTATCCGATAAACTCCGGATTAACGAGAATCAACATTTCTTTCCGAGTCTCTCTGGCACAAGAGTTTACATTTTGTGTTTACAAAATTTGTGAGCGGTGAGATTTGTTTTTTATAGGGATTATTTAATTTGAATCGTTATTGGATTTTTGATGGAGAGTTTACGTAGGAAGAAGGCACTGATTTTTGCTTTTTTATGAGTTTTAGGATTTTCTTCAAGGGATTTTTGGGGAACGGGAAATTTAGGGGAATTGAGGAAGAAACGTCATGGATTGAATTTATATCGATTGCGTGTAGCTAATGATGGGAGAAGTGTTGCAGATTGTTGCAACAAAAAAAGTAGATTTACCGGGGTTAAAGTGATAAACTTCAGGTTCTCCGAAGTCGGATAAAGTCAGAAACTTGACTGACCTCCCTATGACTGGGCTTTTTTTTCCTCCCATTCTATCTTTTAACGTCTCCCAAGGCTCACATTATCCCGCGATTTCCTCACCAATGATTCCTTCATTTTCATTACTCTCAAGACCGTCTAATAACTCTGGAATCGATGAACTCTGGTGCAACAGGTGATTCACGATGATAATTAGGTCGACCGGCAGGATTTCCCGCATTTGTGCGAATTCTCACTCGAACTATTAATCCCCTAAGTTGTATCGAATATACAGAAGAATTCCATGTGAAAGTTAACAAAAAAAACCATAAAAAAATTATGCACAAGAATGAGAGACGAATTTTCGTTGATCGAAATGGATTCATGTGTCATCCCGTTATTTTCCTTAATTAAGTGCTCATTAGGCCCACGCGTGGCGCGTGATGCCAACACGAGTGGTGATAAGCACGCGAATGAGATAATGGAAGGGGGAAAATGTTAAAGAGAAGCTAACGTCAAATGGGGCTGAATTCTGATAAGAATAAATCCGGTATTAACCGGTCTAGGTGAACTCTGCGCTCAAGTACGAACGGATTGTTATTTTGTCCGGTTTATCACCACGGGTGACCGAAGCTGGTGTTTTTCATGCGATAACCGGGATCCACCGGATCCCACAGCCTCCGACGACGCATCTTCCTCCTCTTTCCTCCCTTCCACCCCCTAAACCCCCTCAACCCCCTTTCCACCCCCCGCGACTTCGTCGTCTCGTGCGCAATTCGCATTTCTCCGGAATCATCGATTTCATATCCCGGAATAAATACCATTTTAATTAATACAATAAATTGTGTAAAATTGAAAAGCTTGTGGGAAATTTTTTGCAATTCGCGAATTTTTTATTGATTTTTTTTCATCATATCTGGAATTTTTGAGAGATAATTCTGTGTCGGAATTGTGAAAGGGAACTTCCGGGGTTTCAATGGTATCTCGTGGTTGACCAAAAATAAAGATTTTTTTGTAGATACATGTCTTGCAGATACAAATGAGAGCTGCAAAAGAAGTATTTACGAAAAAATCAATTTTTTTCATTGGTTACGAGATATTTAATGGAAACTGGACTAAAAAATAGAAACATATTTCAAAAATGAAAATTGTATTATATACATTACATTATAAAAATTTTTCCATGGGTAAATGTTCTCAAATTTCCAGTTTTCCTCCAAATTTCATTGATTTCTTTTCTCAAATAATTGAGAACGATTTATGCGGGTAAATTGCGGTTTGAATTTGTCGGCTGAGACTTGAACTGTTTATTATTGAGGTTAATTGTTCGAATGCTGCAATTGAAAATTTCGTCTCGTTTTTCAGGGAATCCTTCAATTTCCATATCGAGTTGATGACTGAAGGATTAATTTTGCCACTTGTTATGAATCTATCACGTAATCTAACGACTTCTGACGTACGGCGATTTTTACAGAATGAAAGAAGCGTAAACTCATAATCATGATTGATAATAAAAATGCTCATTAATAAATATTGATTGCCTTTATCTAGTCTGAGGAACCCAGAGAATTGTAACATAAATTTTTGAAAATCGAAACACGAAGAAATGTTTTTTCCTGAAAATAGTCGACGAACAGAACAAAGAAATTAAACGTCACATGATCGTCTCGACTGTTAATGACGTCGACTTCCTTGTTTGACTTCGCTAATTGTGAATGCATTGTATTAATAGTCACACCGCAACCGGCAATTGTACCTGACGACGAAAACAATGATTTATAATCATGACGGCGGCATCATTAAATCCGCCGACAATTCTCTGAGGATCCTCACGTGATTAAAGGTTTAAGGAATTTTCCGCGCTCTTAAACAATTATAATATCTCAAGAACGTGAGAATTATATTGGGAAGGGAAATCCGCCGCGAGTAATTAAAAAACGGAAAAATCACGATGCGTCAGAATTAAAACGTCAGGGAATCCCCGCGCATCCTCGATTAATCTCGCTTACTCAAGGAATAGCCTGAATAAAAAAAAATGTTTGCATTTCCTAAGCGACATTGGAGAGACCTCGTATTGCCATTGAGCCGTCGCGTGCAATTAACATCGGTGCATAAATAAAACGTGCATCGCATCTTGTTGGGACACGTGCGGCCTGAAATCCAGACGCCAACACCAGACGATCAGTTTAACTATTCAAACACAATTTTTATTACGTATTTTTCCATCATGGGCTCGACATTTTTCCAGAATTTTATTAGAAAATTTCATTCACCCGAAAAAAATTCGTAATGCACGTTCGAACACTCGTGGACATTGCAATGGCTTTTTAAAAAAAAAAATAACGATTATGAATTGATTTATTTTAATAATTGCAATATTTTTATAAATTATTTTAAAATGGTTAATTAAAAATATTTTAGATTAAAAAAAAGTTGTGTACAGAAATCTCTCAATCGAACAATGATATGTAAAAAAAAAATTGATTCGCGTGCACCACAAATTTCTCCCTCATTAGCACAATTTCTCCAATCCTTGAGAGACCCCCTGGAATAAACATGAAAAATTGCGCAATGGTTAGTACGAATTCATTGCGATGGAAAAGTTGGCCGGACGTTCATGAGTTACTCGTGTCGTTACACGTGCCGTTTATAGAGTGCATAACAGCTGAAGGAAAACGCTCATAACGCTAATAATAAAGGAGAAGTGGTCGAGAGAGGAAGAGAAAGAGGAAATTATCAGAGATTACGTCCATAATTCAAACTCAAAACGTTAACGTAACGACTTAAATAACACTATTAGAAAAATGCACATATAAATCAACTTTAACAAAAAAAATCAAGGAATTCCAACTTGAATTTGAGAAATATCTCTGAACCCAATGAGGATAGCGAAATTTTTATTAAATTATATTTTGTCGAGTGAAATGAGAACTATAATAAAGATTTCGATGAGAATTTCTGTATCTCTTCTCAATCCAGAGATATTCGTCAAAAACTGATCCATTAAATCAAATCAAACCAACTAATTACAAGTTCATTTGGTGCATCGATGATTTTTCTGGAAATAACTCGGAATCTAGGGGAAATCCTGAAATTTTTGTTCAAATATTTCGTGTAGCTCTCGATCTTCTCTACAAAAAAGGTTATTACGAAGATCTTGTTATCTCCGTTCAGGTAGAAGATATGAATCCAAAGGTGTGGTATTTTGTCATGAGAAGTCTAACTCACCCTTGACACTTTTTTCTTGGTGTAGACCTCGTCATCCTCAGAGGCTGTGGCGAAATTGAGGTTTCCCTCACAGTACCCAGCACCAATGCCCATCCTGTAAATCTCATCCTTGCAAGATCTCCCATCCAAACTGAAAGTAGAATATGAATAATTTCGTCAGATACGGCTAATCACATCGATCGATGTCACATACATTCGATCAAATAACGAGAACGTGATTTCACGTGATGCTGATAGTCACGAGAAATCGATGAGTTGCGTCGTAAGAGAATAAATATGCTTATCTAATCACAAGATCATGAGACTCGTAAATTAATGGAGACTATGAGTCAGTCCTGTGACCCACTCATGCCATTCTTTCAATTTCTTCATGAAAAATATATAATTAATTTACGTATTTAATCAATTAGAAAACAATTCAAGAATATCGTCGGGGGCTCGTAAGATTCAATCAATTCAATCAATTCAGGTCAAACCTTGAAAACTAGTTCAGACAGAAATTCGTTAAATAATTGACTACATGGAATTAAGGGAAATCAAATTCGATGAATCAGATATGAGTGAATGGTTTTTTGTGGTACTTTCATTAATAATTGCATAAAAATAATGTCCAGTGTTTTTGAAATTAAAAGTGGAATGAATGAATCAACTCACCGGTTGGCCCATCGACGACCGGAAATATCTCTGGATGAGATTCAATGAATTTGTGTCGATTTAAACCGATCGATCGGATCAAAAATACCCGGGATATTTTAAGGACAACCTGATGTACGTCACCGGGGGTAGAGTACAGTCAATAACCCGCAAGAAAGTCGCCCCATTATAGATTTTCTCACATTAATAGAAGAAAGAGGGTAAGAATAAAAAAATGACTGGCCAAGTTCCACCAACGAGGACACATGGAAGCACTTGTCTCATAAAATTTTCACGTCACGTCGCATATTTCTGTCGTTATGCAGCTTTTCAGGAGATTAGCAACATTCCAATCACTCTGATAATAGAAATCAGCGACATTATTTTTTACTGCGGGCGGAATATTCATATCAACTCGGAAAAAAATACTTGCGTTCCACATCTCACCGGAAAAATATTTCTGCATTTTTTCTTCAATTTTTTTTTCAATCCTCTGACAGTATAGGTGTAATAATTATTAATCACTTCAATAATAATATTTTTATTATTATGCGAAGATTGGTTCCATGGAAAGAAAGAAATTTGTGACGAAAGTTCATTGATTTTTTTTCTTGCGAATATTTTGGGATCGATTTGCAGTTTAAGAATAAATGTCGGGTGTTGTGGGATGATGTGTCGTTTTATTATTAATAAACTCCAACTACTTTGACGGACAGTGAGGGATGAATAATCGAAAAGTGTGTGGGTGGCAATGTCCTTTACCCATCGTAACATTTCCATTGGTATCGGTGAAAATCAATAGAGCAGAGATGCTACGATCTACTCGGTGAAAATAGACAGCATATTTAGATTTTATTTATTTTCCATTGATATTTCTTCAATAATGAAAAATATGAAATTCCTCTATTTTAAGATCAGGGAGATTTCCCCTCGGAATTACCCCTCAAATAGCTCGAGATCGTAATTCGATTCATGCAATTATGGCCAACAGATGTTATCCCATGTACACGTGCCTGGCATTTAAGCACTTGAAGGCTCAGTACAGAGTAAAACGAGACATCAATTAAACGAAACCATCGAAGAACATTTTTCTCGTGACAAACGATTTCCAGTTACATTTTTTCATTTTTATGGACTTCAGTCCTTTGTTAGGATTCACTTTGTGGATTTCCACACCGGAAATCATTCGACTTTTCGAGGGGTGGAGTCGAGTGGACACCCACGTTGCAATCAATTGTGGAATACCTGCGACGATAATAGTTCAGAACGAAAATATCTCGAACTTCGGGCGAGTGATGCAATTGCTGTGAATAAAGAGAGATTTAAGGGGTCACTACGTATTTTGCGAGGTTGGAAAATTATTTTTAAATTGCAAGTAAATACATTCGATATGAAAAAAATTCATTTCATTTTTATTGAAAAGAAATTCGAATATGAATTAAAAAAAAATTACGTATTAAAAAGTAATCTAATATAGAAAATCTTTCTGAGATGATTACTAAGTGAATAATTCTATCAAACAATTGATGAAATAATTATTAATAAAGTGAAGTTCAACTTCTGGATTAAAAATAAAATTCTATACAATTAAATTCGGGGAATAGCTAAATAAATCAGTAAATTCATTTCAAGTGCAATCAGTCAATTACTTGATTGACTCATCCGTAATGGAAGTACAGCTAAAAAAATTTTATGAATAAAAAATAAAAGCTAAAAATTGACGTCAGAAGTCTTCGCTTTCGATTAATAAAGAAACCAAACCCGAGGCTCATAAATTAGTAATTAAAAAATCACGAATTATAATGGAAATAATCGGTTATTTTCCGGGGACTCGGACATCACCACGTGCTATTCCACGTGAATATATGTGCCTGAATATCGAAGCTTTCGCCTTGTGATATTCTCGTGCAAAGGGGAGCACGAAAACACGTGCGTGGAAAAGTACTTGTCGGTAAATGAATGCTCTTGTACCATGACCCGCACAACGTGTCCATTCAAGGGAAAAAATTGCCGGCAAAACCATTCCGTAAAAATGACAAAACAATTCACGTGATCCGTGAGGCATCGTTTTTTTGGGATTTTTAGTGCAATGAGACATCACACGAGTCGTTCATTTTTACGGAATAAATCGTTGAATTTACGTGACGATTCGTACGATTTCACTTACCACTCGCACTGTTTATTGAAAATCGCTTCCCTCGCGGATTACCTTCTCTTTCGTAATTTTTCCGCCGTTTTTTCTGGCGAATTTTATTGACTTCTTCTAGATATTCTATATAACTTGAAAAAATTGATGGAAAGTGAAGGTATTTTACGGAGGTGGTGGTGTGGGCACAGGTAAGGTCATCGAAGGCCGTATCTAATCTCCTTTCAGTCTCGGCTCGATGATTCTTCTCCATTGGATACCAATATATATATATAATATCAACACACCTTTCGACGCCCTCATTCGCCCTCTTTCTATCAGAATAATCTATGAAGTATAGGGTATGTTCATTCATAAATACCTGACGGTAAAATTACTCACAATCCTCTCACGAGTCATGAAATAATACAGATCCATTAAAAATTGTCGCATTTTGAATTTTCAACATTTTCCTTGTTCAAACAAAAACAAATGGATGAAAGAAGTATTTAGCAATTAGTGGATTATCGAGAGCATTAATTTGGCATTGAATCTGATAATAATTAAACATTCAATAATAATTAAAAAACATTTCCGTATTACTCGGGGTAAAAAATATGTTTTGTACATGAAAGAATAACAATTGCTGTTTTTGTCCCGAACAAATCGCGAAGGCCAATTCGAAGGCTCGAGGAGACGAGAGACAATCAATCATGCAGATTGAAAATTATTCAAAGGACGATAACCAGGAAAAATTGATAACTTTCCTCGTACTGATGATTCGTCCTTGTTACGATGTACATCCGGCAGAAATAAATGCGGGTGTTCACACGCGATCGTGTGAGAAACGAGGGATCTAGATCCTCTTGTGATCGCACGTCATGCCAAAAGCGATTTGACCTCATGTATTTATAAAAAAAGATGATGGCAGAAACTGAGAGTTCACAAGTTTTTTTTTCTCCGTCAGCCTTGACTTTTTTATTTATTCAATGACAATTTTTCATAATTTTCACTCAATGGTACAATATGGAAAAATTACATTCGGATTTTCGGATAAATAAACAATGAACAATAAAAAATAAAAATAAATTAGTCAATAACAAAGTGAACATGGAATTTTGAAATTTGCGTTCAGAGTTCTTTTTTTTTTTAAACGACATCTCCAGTCATTTATTAATCCCCCGAGTAGATTAATGAATGTGTTGGGGAGGGGGTAATCAGCTGTCTCGACGTCTGGGGAGGGGTAATGAGAAGTGAAATGAAAGAGGGGAAAAAGCATGCTAACCTACATCATGAGCGCGTGTCTGACAACGTGACTTGAGACTCTCGTGAAAAAAACATTAAAAAAATATATAACACTGTCAATTTCTCACATTTTCCTCTCATTACCCGCGAGATACAATCCCAAAATTACAATCGAGATATAGTTTCTATGCCGTAAATGTCTCCTGCACTTTCAATAATCTAATATTGCTTATTAAATCAACACAATAATTAATTCAATATCAACCGACCTTAGTAATATTCTGTTAGGAATTATATTTGGAGATTATAATCATTCGATAGCGATGATAACACGCTAGACATTTCTCACGCTGTGGAAAATTTCATCGAATGATAAATGTCACGTACACAGGTGTAAAGACCAGTGAATTCTCGTTTACCATCTTTTTTTACTGATATAAAGTTGAAGGCAGAGTCGATGACGCGGGGAATTTAATCACTGGAAATTTACACGATCTAAATTTGATCCATTCGAGACGCGTGATTAATAACCAACGGATTGCTCCGAATGATAGATTGACGATTCATCAAGAGTTAATCAAATCATCTCTCAATTTGTTACATGTGCCTGAATCCAGTTGTTGGATTCTTCCACTCACGTTTGTTTGGGGTTGTTTGAATCAATAATTAAAATCAGCGAGACAAGGAATTCTTTAATTAGCGATAACAAACTCTCGAAATCATTCTTTCATTTTTTCAGAGAGGCTTTCTCGATCTTTTCCATTGTACAATTCATTCTGAAAATTCATTTTATTGAAGTTCCATTAATTAATTTAATTTGATAATTTATACTGACAATTGACGCACAAAATATGAGAAATTGATTGCGGAAAATTTTAATTGCGTCATTACATAAGAGTCGCGTTTATTTATCATTTCACCGGAGAACATTTTTATTGCAAAAGAAATGCGAAAATCATCTTCACATATAAATAGGAAGTCCGAAGTTTCGCAATTGATTTATGTATCGACAACACGAAATATCGTATACACAAACTCGATTATCCGTCGAATCACACGTTCTCGTTTCGTACATATATAATCGCTTTGTCTTGCTCCCTCGGCCCCACGAAATTCCAATGTCTCGTGATATTCATGATGCATCGGGATTTAATTCAATAACACCTGGATCTTTTGTCCGAGTGGTAAACAAAATATATTAGATCACCTACGTCATATTCGCGAAGGGGAAATTTCCTCGACGAAAACGAGAGTCATTGAGATAGAATCGCAAGGCTGACAACCGCCTCTGGCAGGTTTGACTTTTTTCTCTCATTTTTTTTTTTGTTTACTTGTAAAAAATTGCGCAAATCACCGAGGCTTCGGATTCTAGGTCATATGGGTGGAGAAAACGCGATGACAAATTGTTGACGATTTCTCGGAGGAATCAGCGGATTTTCGTCATTGATTTTTGTACCACTACTGCAATTGTCAAAATAATTCATTGATTATTTTAACTCTCGGGAGAATTATGCCCTCAGCAATTCCCAGACAGAATAAAATGCCGTGACGTCGGAATGGAATCAAAGTTTAATGGGGAAAAGTCATCTTATAAAATATTCATTAATTGATAATTAATTTTAAATCCATAAACATCTGAATTTATTGACTGATGATATCTATTATTTATTCCAAATTTCAAAAATTGCTACGATGTTATCAAAATCGATTGGGCAATGCCACAAATTTGAATCAACAATTAATTGGGTTCTCCATTCCTAGTTGGATTGACTCATACACTCTGAATGGAATGCCAAAAATACGTCGACCCCATAAAGCCCACAATTCCATCAATTCAGTTAAATTATTTAAAAATAACTCCGCAAAGACCCGGAGAGCATTGTGCTCGTTAATTAACCCATAAAATGATCCATTAGTACCCACTCACCACCTCTTCCATGACATCACATGTAGGCTTATCCCTAGACAAAATTATCCCAAACAAATCAGCAGTTGACCCACAAAAAAGCCACAAACAGCGCGTAAAATGGTCGTGAGACAAATAGTTCTGACACATGTGCCATACCCCCCCACACTTTATAAAAGTGGAGGGGAACCATCAAGTTTATTTCCATTGACTGTTGCAATGACGACGGAAAGTTTCGGGGTTTAATCAGTGCCGAATATTAAGCCAAGATGAACAGTTGTTACAAATTCAATACCCAAATTCATACCATGAGTAATTTTCCAACTACCGTCAAATTAAACGCGACTCATCTCGGTAACGAGAGGTTCGAGGGGAAAAGTTAATGAGTAATTTTTTTTTGAGAATTTAGTCCTCTACAGAAAAGTTTAATATCATTTTTTTCTAGAAATGCGGGTTTTCGAGTTAATTGCGAAAATCTGGGGGTTGACACTGCATGTCACTAGCTGCTGTAATATTCATGTCTTTCCATGACGCACGTGCTCGTCTCTTTACTTACGTCATTGAACGCGACTCCTCGGATCGAAGCGACGTGGGGAACAGCCAGAGAACTGTATGTACTCAGGGCGTTGTCCCATGTAGTAGTAAAATAAGAAATGAGAGAGTTGAATCGCTCGGGAAATCGAGGAATGCGGAATTCCAATCAAGAGACGGGTTTCGCTGGCAAGATCACGTGTTTCTCACCAAAATCATTATAGGGGATCATTTGGCGAATGTTGCAATGAAGTTGAACGATTATTCGACATCCCTAAAAGGGAACACATTAATAACTGGATTATTATTCGCGACGTTCGTTTCGTTTTATCGTCGAAGAATCTTCAACAGCGGAAAATTCTGTCTACCAGAATTACAGATTTTCTAGTCTTCACCCGCGACTTTGATCCATTGTATTTGACCTACAAAATCAATAATTCATATTTTCATTTACATTTTTGCAATCGTTTAGGGTCGATTATGCAACCCTCAGTGGGTGGATATTTAACCCACCGTTGATCAAATCCGATTAAAGCTATTTTTTGTGGGTCAATTGCAGTTGTCACATTACAAAGTCACAATTTCAAATCCTAAACGTTTAATGAGCAATCGATTAATCGATCGATTGGTTTACCTATCGCGATAAATCATGCGCAGGGCCACAGAAACCACCCGAGGTAATCCACTGCTAACAGTGAGGCCTCGAATTCTGTAATCTCTCTTTTTTCAATAAACTATGATTGATTGATTTTACAAGACAAAAAATAGCAGTCTTCGGAGAAAACGCACTCAGGGACTCGATAATCGTAAGGTTCGAGGATATCGATTTACGAGTAAAAACGTGCGAGAAGGACTGAAATATCGTCGGTAAATATAGTCTGAATATACCAGCTATGCATTTGTATTTACATACTCGGGAATAAATACAGTTCGATCGAATCTTCTGTCAATGGTCCGTGACCGTGTGGAAATGGGGAATTCGATTTCCAATTCATTTTTGTTTTCATTTTAGAAACGACGGAATTTTTACAGGCAACGCGACCTAGAATCTAGATTTCCTCGACTTTTTCCGATTGTTTCCAAAAATTGAGAGCAGGCTAAATCCCTGAATCTAAGGGAGATATCGAAATTTTTACAATTACCTTTTTTGTTACTTCTGCCTTGCTCTTCAAAAGAGGTCATATAAAAAAATTTGCTATCTCTTTTAGATCTCCAGATTTTACAGGATTTACTCGCATTTCCAGAGAAACTTGCAATTCCTTGGATGCTTTTCCTCAAATCAAATTAAAAGTCCTATAAATCTGAAGATTTCTTATCAGTACAGGAGGAAATGTCAGTGATAAATTTCAGAGGAAAAACTCCAATGACACCTTGAGATAATTATGTGATTATCAACATGAAAAGAGAATTGACCCCGATACTCTGGAATCGACTAGTTTCCGCTGCAGGTATCAGTCGCTGAACTTAACAATCGGCCATTATCATTGAGATACAATTCTCCTGGAAGTGCGGTAATATCACTGGATTAGTCAGTCATGTGAAGATTATCGGAAAGTGCTCAAACACTTGAAACAAAAATCACGTGCAAAGCCAAATTAACACACAAAGATGAAGGACATCCGAATAAAATTTCACAGAAGAATAAATAATTTCAATTTATCTCGAATCAATTAATTTTCGACATTAGTCTCCGTTTAAACAAAGACAAATAAATAAATGACGTATTTAACAATGTGAATAAGAATATTTATTAACATTTAATTTTTCTCGGTAAAAAATTTTTATAAATCGGGAACAAAGGATTCGTCCTGAAGTGTTAAAAAGTCGAAGTATTTATTAATAATGTATTTATGAGTTTAAGAGAGATTAATTCTTGATTTTTTTTCGTTTCCGGCTGATTTCGTTTCTGATCACGTACAAAATTTATTAACTTTCTCGTATTCATTCGGCCTTCGATCAATTCGATATCTTATCGAACCGCTTGTGGCCCTGAATTTTTTCGTCGCCGGTTTCACCACCTGCAACGGATTTTATCTTTATATTCTCACGTGTCCATTGGAATTCCGTCTAGGTGACAGGGCGATTTCTGAGGAAATCCTGGAAATTCTCATCGTCAATTGACGTGAAAATTTCATGGGGTAATGGAGGAGGAGAGGTGATTCAATTTCAAGGGAACTCGTCTTCTTGTCTCGTCTTCTTGTCTCGTGATAATTCCAGAGACCCATAAAATATTCACCTGTGTCTACAACTCGCACCTTCCTATCTCCAGGATTTTTTTTTCATCGTTTACTGGAATCGTTCTGACTCATATTTCAATTTTAGTGCCTCCTGATTTTACGATGATTTTTCTCAGGTTTTACGCGTTTAAAATAGGTCTCCCCTGAAATTGTTTCTCTGTTGATTGCAGATAATTAAACATGTAATATAGGATGAACACCGATTTTACGATTTTTCTTGTGAATCCGTTGAAAATCATTTTCTTGTTTTCTCTTTTTGAGTATCTCGGAAACTAATGGATTAGGGGGAAAATTTCCCACACGTGTGAAAAAAAATGATACTCCAGGGCCAGTTGAATAATTAGTTTCAGTATTATGCCATTAAATAAATTATGTAATTCGTTGGAAATTGAAAATTAAATACTGAAATATCGATTCTAAGAATTGAATTTCGATGATTTTTTTTGCAGTGGTGGAAAAGTTCTATTGATTTTTAAATAAACTTTTTCCACCGACCATATGATCATCAAATATTCACGATTCTTTAATTATAAATAGATGGGTAAATAATGTGTTTGAAGAATCTGAAATAAAAGGGGAAAGAGTGGTGGACATTTTTCCACTCGCCGAGTGTTCGAAAATAAATAAACGGGTTAAATAAATAATATGTTTCGCCAGTGGATCGAAGGACGATTTCATCCGAAAGCGAGGAGGAGAGTCCGGTGACCTCGAGGAATTTCCCCTCCCACCACCCGACGGTCGAGAATTCCCCAGGCGAATTCCTTGAACTCATCTCCATCGGCTAAAATTTTTAGCGACAAAATGATTTCCAAGAACATTTCCATTTTTCACAACAACTTCCAATAATTTCATTAAACGGAAATTAGTGGCTTGATCCATAAAAATTAATTAATTCATCCACTCTCCAGCAAAAAAATTAATTGTGTATTGGCTTTTTAATGAGAATAATGTTTTAGAGTTATACGGTAAAAAAAATTGCGCCTAAATTTTTCAAAAATGAAAAATTTTCTGATTTTTAAATTCCCAAAGAGTTCAGGAAATCATTAATATTTGATCGATTAATTATCATCATTGCATCAGACACGACTTTCCTCGATTTTCCTAAGAATTTCCAAAATCCCTGATCTCCCCCAAAATTTAAATAATTCCTTGAAAAATTACTCACCTTTCATACTTGACCTGCATGGAGTGCGCCGAGTTCTCATCCCAATAATTCTGTGTCTCCATCATCTTACAGCCTAAAACTCTGAATCCAACCGTAAACTCTAATTACACTCTCCAGAAATCAATTACTCCATACACCAAAGTCCAATCAAAATTTGATCGAGAGTCAATAAAAATATCCGTCGACAAGGTACTCCAGAGCGATATCTCGTCTCGATAATTCGCGTTATTCCCGAGAGCACTCGAAACTCGTGAAAAATAAGTCGATGGTGACACGCAACTTTGCAATCACGCAACTAGGGTCCAGTGCGTTTGCGTGTCACAAACTCGTGTTACTATGGAAGGCCACAAGAGAGTGCGTCTCCTGGATGAAAATAAATCCGAGACTCACCGGTTTATAATTTTTTCCACTCCAATCGCATCAGATTCATCCAGAAATAATTCCCAATGCCCCAACAAATTTTCCGTAAATATCGCCCCAAAAAAAATCTCTATTTCCTCCAAAAGTCTCAACTCTTCATTCCACGTCTTCCACGTCTTCTGCCTCTTCTACTTCTTCCACTTCTTCTACTTCTTCCACTTTTTCCACTTTTTCCACTTTTTCCACTTTCGAATTCCCACCGGAGAATTCAAAATAAACTCTTCAAATGTTTTCAAATTTTTCGAAACTGTCTCCAATATCGTTCTGCAGTTCGAGGTAACTTTTTAGTCACTTAAAATAGGTAATTGGTAATGGGTAATTGTCTCACGTACACGCACTGCAGCACGTGATGGTACGAGGCCGTTGACTCCTCCCTCTGACGATAAAATTCAAATTTGAATTGAATTATCACTTTTTGATTGATTGGTGATTGGACTGAGGGACTGAATAGGGGATACTTGCACTGGGGTGGGGCTGATTATTTATAGAGGATGATGTATTTGAGGCTGTGGGGTTGATTTTCAGTGTCGATGTTACGGTGTGTCGTGTCCGTCAGGTTGCGGTGCGCATATAGAAAACTCTTCGATCCTCTGGGGGCCGCCACGGCACGCGGTTACGCGGTGGTGGGGATAACTGAGGTACTCAGGCCCGGAGTTGTTATCAAGGGAACCACTGATAAACCATTTTTTTTTGTCTCGCAGGTGAAAATCGTAGATACGCGAAATAAAAATTAGCCGTGACAAAAATGAACTAATCCTATTTTAGATAAACTGTATCAAGGGAATAAATATATGTATATATAACTTTTCTAAATTGATTGTTAATCGAATTAAATTTTTTTAAAAATATTTTCATAAATATATATGAAAATATTATAATTAATTAAAAGAAAAACTTTTCGACGTTTCATCGACTGCTTTTTTGGTAACTGAACGGGATTTAATATTTGTCATCAATTTGTCAGCATTACAGTCGGTAATCAATATTGATTGATTAATGGATAAAAAATTAATTGTCAAAATATTCGAGGGAATCAATTTTTTCTTTTTATTTTCTATCAGAATTGATAATGTCGAGAAATTCTGCATCTCGTCATGGGAATTTATGATGAGTGATAAGTCTGTTCATGATAATCTGTTAAACGGCCGAGTCAATAAAATTATTCTCGGATAGGGAGGAAACACGAAGAAAAGTCATCAAGTGTGTGTGGCCCCCACGCGGAAGTATCTCGATAAAACTCAGTATCAGTTAATGCGTCATCGATTTATCGTAGAATCTCTCCACGAGGAATCAACAACCGAGCCAACAATTGTCACCGGATTAAATGTTATTCCTGGAAAGTCTTATCAATCTAGACATCGAGATCAATCTATTCTCAAAATATCCCGTATCAAATTCGAAGCTAATTTTCACGCGAAGTGAAATTCAATTTCTCTTTCGCGCATATTAGAAGGAATCGATTGATATCATTCTTAATAAATTTCCATTAATTAATCTATAATAATATATATATATATGTGTTATCAATCCCCCTATGTTAATAGGACAAGGATTCAATTTCAATCATTCGATTTTTGTTGGATTTTTGTTCAATTATCGATTCGTCTAAAAAAATTGTTCAAATAAAGAACAAATATTTTCCCGTTATCATTTGGACTTGGGGGAGGGCGAGGAAGGTAATGACTGCACCGAAGTGAGTGCAAGTAGATCCGTACCTGAAGTTGGTGTGCGCGGTACCTCACCTAGCAAACCACACAGTGTGACACGTGCGCGTGACGTCACGATGACGGTCACGCGATCACCGTGTGCTTTTGCGGGTCACGTGTCCTGTCACGCGCTCCGTTACCATCCCCTTTCCTCCCCCTCAATTTCTCCTCACCGTCAAACCCCCCACTGCAATCTCCCACTCATGCACTCCACTCACACCGACAATTGTATATTTCCATTTGCCCGACTGGCATTTTATCCCGATAATATTCGTAACCACTGTTGAAAAATTACACCTGAAATTTCAAGTGAAAATATTGACATATGTGCAGACATAAAAATTATTTGAATCAAATATAAAGTATATTTTATTCAAGTATATATTTTTTCTTCGAACATAGCTAATGCGATGATATCCTAATATTTCATCGTCCCTCGATCATCATTGACATTAGATTTTGCGCACTGGAAATTAATGATCAAGTACGAATGCATGTTCCATTGTGCGGAAAAAGCACTCGAATTTAGTATGCGTTGGATATCGGTGAAGTTACACGTGCATGGGATTGAAGACCGGGGGTCTTTAAATAACATTGTGTATTTTCCAACCGACCTGGGAGAAAATAAACTCAGTCTGTAGCAATGATACTTCATTCTATTTTCATTTTTTGATTTATTCGTCACATGCGGCCACTTTATTTCCCTGCATTGTAACGATTTTCTAAAATTGTCGGCCGATTCCGTGTCAATTATTTCTGGGAGGAAGTGACCATTTTTTGTTCAATCCTTTCTTGAAATAATTTACGTCAAAGTTCTTTGCAAATGACAAAATTACAGAATTTATCATTATACTTTATTTCAATTGCGTCAATCCGAAAACAAATTGAGAAAATTGTAGGAATTATTCGCATTACATAAATAATGGAATCTCACACGAAAAATAACATTAAAAAAATATGTTGAGTCATCATCAGTATATCAACAACCGGGCGTTTTGAAATAGTAATTAAAAAATGATTCATCAAAAATGAAGAATTAGGATAATTAGGATTAATAATAATTCGTAAAAATCATTTATTCACCTCGAAAAATTTTTTCGTCTGTCCACTAATTCTTCCCTCCGCAATTAGCCCTTCTCCGAATTGTAACCGAAAAAAAAAACTTGAATTTCCGCTGAAAGTTCTCTCTTCGAATAGCAATGCAAAATGTAAATTAACATTTCTACAACAAACAAAGGAAAACTCCATTGGAATTTACGTAATTCTATGTGTATTTGAGCCTGACGAATGCAACGAGAGGAAGCAATGAATTACTCCGTTTAGTTTCAGGTGTTCATTGTGTCTTCCTTTGAAATTTCAACTGACAATGCGTAGACAAACGTGACTTTTACAACAGAAGAAGAGGCGAAGTGTTTTGCTGAATCGTTCCGTAACACCCGAGGACGTGATCCTCGTTATGGCTGTAATGAAATATTCTACTTTGCAACTCCTAACTAGGATGAGGTGGCCTTGGACGAATTCGAACATTCACTCGTAATTATGTACTTGGTCTCTTGTCAGAGACCACCTGCATTCTCTTCACGCCCTGATTTTATGACTTTTTTTTCTTCAATTATTCGGATAATTGCCATTTTTTTTTCGAACGCACTGTGACAATTGTTGTCATTAGCGCTTTCATCAAGAAATTCATCGACATTTAGCATTCAAGAGCTGTTTCACTTACTTTCTGGAATTTCTATGTAATTAAGATTGTAATTGTCTTGTGGTGTTATTTATTACTCAGGGGTCCCCGTGTTTCATTTTTATTTTGCTCTTTATGGTTTGCGCTATGATGAAGATTTTCTGAAAATGGCAATTATGCAATTTAGAAAAAAATGTTTTCAAATCCGGAATAGAAAAAAAATCGAATTTTTTCAATTTCTGGTATTTCTCGGGGGTAGATTCACCCGATTTTTTTGAATTTTTGGGAGTGAATGGAACTGGAGAAACTCTGACTATCTCAAAATGGGAAAACTGAAAAAAATAAATAAATAAATAAGGTGCGCACCGGTTGAGCGAACATTGCGCGCACGTGGTGAGAAGGGTAGAGCGTGGTTGGGCGCGTGACTTGTCGGGCCGAGGCGTGCCCTTCTCTCCAGATCACGTTGAATACAACGCGGCTACTCTCACTCTGTCGACATAGCAATACTATTTATACGTATGCATATTAATACACGCGGCAATGCCAGGCTTTGAAAAAATTATGAGCCACTATCGGCACGATTGAAATGCACTCCAACGATGCGTCATCCCAGTTTTCTATCGCGATTCACTAAAAAATTCGCTTCACCTCCACTTTTTATTACCATTTTTACCAATTTTGATTTCGTAATTAATTACAGAAGAGTCGATTGTTATTTTTTCGATGATTAATATATATTAGTACAGAAAATATTAAGTTCTGTGATAAGAATTCTTTTTAATGCATTCGTATTGAATTAATTAGATGCTGGTAATGGAATATTAATAGATTGATTGATGAATTGAATTATGGGACGAGCCGTGAGGAAAAGCGACAATTTCCCAATTGCCTAGCGAAGAGCGATGAAATAAAAAAATGGAGATGTTGAACGTCATCATCATAAAACTGCGTAATCTCACACTGGGACCGACGCAATTTCATGACGGTTTTCATTCACGATTTCGTAATTCAATCCAAAGGTATTGGGTGACCATTCGAAGAGGCTGGAAGATTATTTAGAAGGAATCATAGAAAACTTTCCAGTAATTTGATTATTAAAATAATATCAGATTTTTCTCATCTCTCAAACAATCATTCACTGCTTTGCAAATAAAAATGAACAAACACTAATACCAATAATAATAATAGAATAAATGTTCAATTTCATACGTCTCAGTTATAGTCTTAGTCACTGGATGATGCCTTTAAGAATAAAAAATAAATATTGAGCTGATAAAAAAAATCTGGTTTTTATATCGTATCATTGGCCAGTCATGGCAAATGATGAAACGTGAATTCTATCACACAATCACGTTTGACACGTACAGAAGACCCCGACGAGTCACGTTTCGAGGAGAACGTGGCATAACTGGGCGATAACACGAGAGTTAGATAAACCCGTGTTTTCTCCTTGCTTTTCCTCATTGAAATCGAAAGTGTGACCCGAAAGAAAAAACTGATCAAATAAATTCGCGATTTATTGTGATCCTGAGAAGTCGAAAAATAATAAAAAGCAAATCCCTACATTTCTCTCATTTCTCTCGTTACACTTATTACTAATGGCCTTCGGCACTCGGTTTGTTTACAACTTACTGAATCAAATGGTTATCAATGATCAATCCGGTTCAGTTCTGGTTATAGTCGGTTTTCTGTATCTTCTCGAGGGGGGAGTTCACGGGGGTTCAAGACGATTGCAAGTCGATTTGAAACGCATCTTTGTCATTATTCAAGTCCCAGCATCACGTGATGATGTGATAAGTCTTGACGAGTTAATGAGGATGTCGACAACCAAATCATGTCGAAGAGAAAATAAATTGACATTTAATTATTATTTTAATTACAACCGGAAATTAATGACTGATGATTTATTTATATAATATTCATCGAAAAATTTCAAAGAGCGACGATTTCAGACTTTGTGAAATTAATCAAATTAATTAATAAAATTGGACGTAATTCCTTTTTTTTCCGCTCGTGGCTGAATTAATTTTTCAAATTTAATGAAAATCGTCGCTTTTTCCAACTGAACACATAATTGAAATTTCCTTGTGATTTCATAAGTGAGGAAATTGGGACGAGGAAAATGACTAATGAAAAAAAAAATCACTGGATAAAATTAAGTTCCTTTTTTCTTATTGAACAATAATTAATTCTTTGTACATTACGTCCTCCTCGTCTCATTGGAGTATTCACAATCGTATTCATCTCCAACACCTCGAAACTCCACAATCGACCTCACAATTGACAAATGGATTCATAAAAACAGAACTCCGGATACCCTCTCAATTTACAATTACTATTTCCCCCATTCACGTCAACGAAAAAAGGAATGCAATTCGCTAATGCATGCTGAACGATAAGACCGAAAGATCATATCCAAGAGAATTGAAACGATGGAACAAAAATCTGAATTGAATCACGAAAGGACCGAGAGAATTTCCAAATAAAAAGTTCTCTATAAATCCAATCGAGGAATATTTCCAACTGGAGATACCAAGAATCTTTTCTCATTCAACCAAGTAATTAATTTTTTCTCCCCTCAGTCCCTGTCCCCCCTCTCCTCAGCCCTTTCCTCAGCCCTAGCCTTCATCCTCGTGATGAAAGCCTGCCCCTTGCTCTTTCTGAAATTCTCATAAGGGTCGTTGAGATTAATTCCAACCCCTTTGTACTGATCATTCCTGTCCCTGATCTCTCCCCCAGAAATCGGGGCCTCAATCCCCTGTTCATTGGCCCCGAGACCCGCCCCACCCCATCCCATTTTCTTCAGCAACTGATGACCCTTGTTGCTCTCATCCAGGGAAGACTCGACGGGCCCTTTACTATAGGTTGACCCAAGAAAACTCGGAGGTGTTGGACTCCTCTCCCTGTCACTCCTCCGGTCTGGACTTCTCTCTTTATTACTATTTCTTCTCCTTCGATTTCTACTGTTGTGTGTTCCGTGTACTCCACTGCGACTGTTCCTCCGATGATTCGATGCTGGTGAACGGGATTTACTGCGACCCCGGGATCTCGAACGAGATCGAGACCGTGATTTACTTCTGTATCGTTTCTTTGGTGGACTTGGGCTTTTGGAGCGTGGTCGGAGGATTGGAGATGGTGATCTCGATTTATCACGAACTCCTGACATCACGTCCTCCTCCTTTCGCTTACGAGCTACATTTTTTGCTTTGTAGTACTCGTACAGCCCCAGTTTCTCCCAACCATCACTATCCCTGGGTGAATCATGATTGGGCGGTGCGTAGAACGCTTCGACAGCGGCGACAAGTCGATCACTCGGTGGAGCTGGTGGTGGGAGTCTGATCGCATCAGGATCCAGTGGCTTGTACTCCCCGTCCTCGAGCTTAATGAGAGGCACCATGAGACCAGCTGGTAGCTCGAAATAAGGCATACTGGGCATGAGATCCTCCACCGAGGGCTCATGAATCACTGGAGGTGGTCCAAAACCAGGTGGTGGCTTCGATAGATCTGGCAGTGGTACTGTTGCAAATGGAGGTGGTCCTGGGGGCTGAGTAACACCCCATCCCGGTGGTGGCTGAGTGAAATTCAAATCACCGGCCATTGGAGGTGGCGGCCCTGAGTGGCTCGGTGGCAGATTCATATTCTGCTGATTTGGCACCTAAACACAAAATAAATCCATTTGAAATTAAATGACTTCATATATGAATTAAAATTCATTCTCACAACTACAATTTGACATTAAGATCATTATGTCAAATGTTCTCACTGCATTTTACGAATTAATTTTTCACTCCATGCAGAATTAATAAAAAATAATATCAAGTAAACATAAGTTTTATTCATAGAAAATAAAACGATTGACAATATATTATTACAATACATATCCATCAAGGAAAATCATACAAAAAAACGAGATAATTATTTGGTTCATCATAAATTGAATAGAAAAAAAATGAAATAAACTTTCAAAAAAGTAAAGAATAAGAACAGAAATAATAATAACTTGAGAATGATTAATGCTCTTTTGAAGGATAATTAATCAACTTCGGATGCAGTTCTCACCATTGGTGGCATTGGTGGAGGTGCAGGTGCCATGAGCTGTTGTTCAATGGCTCTTTTCCGTTGCTCAATACTAGCGATCTGATTTTTCGCATGCTCCACAAATGCCTGATGCTGTGCTTGATAATTATCGTACGTCTGTTTCGTCGATGTTGTGATTGGAGTGATTGCACTTGCGAATTGCGATACAAGACCCGCCTGATAGTCAGACCACGAGGTACTGGGTTGCTTGAGTTTCTCAATTATTCCCTCGTCGAAGTAATTATTCTTCGATTCCCAAAGACTCAGGAGTTTGTTCAGTTTTGTCAGTTGATCGTCACTCGCTGCTAATGACGTATTGCAAAACATGGGGACCACCACGTTCTCCATTGCCTTTCTGAGATCTCCAGTCTTTTTTCTAGCACTTCCGGTCATGGTGTTATTAATTAGAATTTAAATAATTAATAATTAATTGAGGGGCGGGTTAACTCACCAATGATGCAAGACGTCGTTAACGAGATAAATAATATGAAGTTTCTGGTTAAAAGTCGTGCTCTGGATGACCCTGACGATGAGAAATCAGTCATAAATATTTATATAAATTAAAAAATTTGTACGCTACTTCTCACCAGTCCCCTTAACAATCCAAAATTACCTCTTCAACAAGTGCTCAGCAATGACCTGATTACTAGCAGCAGTTACACTGTACTGTAAAATCCAGGCCTTTCCAGTACTGATGCTGTCTTTGGTGCAGCTGTCAATGATAGGCTGAAGGACAGCATCGAAAGCAACGAGATCGGTCTCAGTGCTCTGTGCAGAGCTCTGCAGTGCCCCTTCCTGGGCCTGTCTCACAGCATCCTCCACTCTTCCCTGCTGTTGTGCCATGAGTGCAGCATGCTGAGCCCCCAGATTCACACCAGACTGCTTGACCTGCTCCTGGAGGGTCGCCTGCTGGGACTGAAGATTCTGCAATTCATTCTGGAGCCAAGCTGGTGGCCCATTGATACCCACACCAGGTCCAGGTCCACCCATCGGAGGATTAACTCCAGTCATAACACTGCCAACTGGTCCAATGCCAGCAGGTGGTCCTGCATTCTGCATTGCTGGAATCACACCAACAGGACCCACCTGGCTCATACCGTTGTTTTGGGTATTCAGGGTGACATTATTCAGCTGGGGAACTGGTTGGCCTGTCACTTGCTGCTGCTGCGAAACGTTTAAACGTGGATCTGCATTTTGCATTGGATTTATTTCCTTTTGCTTTAAAACTGGAAACGAATCATTCGTTGATTATTCGGGGTATTTCAATGCTTCGGCTGATTCAAACGATTACAGTGCGTTCCATTATTCAAGATTTCTTCGTTTAGTTAAAAAAATTTAAGTGTCGTTAAAAATAATTGTTCAATCATTCTTTTATTTCAGTAGTGAACGGGTCAAATAATTTCAAGACTTTCACATATTTTCCAATTCTAAATTTTCTTTACTGACAATTTTTAGGAAGATGAAGGGAATCATTTCACCTCTCAGTTTAAGAGAAGTTCATTTTTTCAAAAACTTTGGTAAAGAGGAACAAATGGACTTGTTGCTTATCAGATTTTTCGTTGAAAATCTCGGAATCTAAGAGAGATATCGAATTTTTTGTTACTTTGTTTTTTTTTATCGACTTACTCGCTTGCTCGGTGGTCACTTTATACTGATAATAATTGAAATAGTCTCCCCCGAACAAGAAACTGAATTTAGGATTGTCCTTCTGCTTGTTCTTCGTCATCTGCTCAAACTCAGGGCCATTGCGAGCAACAAACTGAGCCAGTTTGTCAATTATCTTCCTCAGCTCATTATCTACAACGTAACTTCCATTACCAAAAAATGCCTCAAAAATTCTCGAAATCCAAAAACCACAAAAAAAATCTTTCAAATTTATATCGCCACCTTTTCCTCCTGAGGTTCGCTGCTCGATAATTTACAAAAAAATCAAATGAAATATTATCTTATCATAAAAAAAAACTTCAGTCTAACCTCACTCTTTACGACAACAATTAAAATTGCCCAAAGAATGTTTTTACAAAAATTCCATCGGCTTTTGCTCTCAATGCATGAAGAAATCCATTCGAACATTTTAATTCCCCCGTTTCAATTAATTTGATGAATGAAAAAGCGTAAAAAATTGTCAACGTGAAGATCCACCGGTTACCAAAATTACCTGAAGGCGCCTGATCCATTATTCTTATTAAATCCTGTCTCAGAAGTCTCAAAAAGTTCCGATAAAATCGATAACACGTGTCACTGAATTTCTTCTCTCAGAAGTTCATGAATAGTGGATAAATAATATTTTATCCTTTATTTCCCATGATATCGGAATTGTTTCAGGAGAACGCCATACAACACCGCCATTCCCCAACAACGACTGCATTATCAAGTCCCAGGAGAGGGCGTCGCACCTCCGAAAATTTACGAAAAGACACGGAAATTAACGACCCAAAATAAAAAAAAAGATTATTTAACCCCACAGTACTCTATTTCTGTTGACAGCTACGGTTGAGGGGATGTGAGGACAATTCCACTCCAATTACTCAATAAAAAGTGAATCTAAAAAATAAATTAATTATCTTAATTTAATTAGACACCAAAAAATGAGAGGGAAAAAGTTGAACAGAAATTCTGTGTGACTCCAGTGAATTTCGGGAATTAAAGTGTTAGAGATGTGGAGCTCTTGGAGAACTATTTGAAGAAATGATTGGCCGAATTATTCAATTATTTTTAAATATCGTCGTAATGTGTTCAAGTGAATTCTCAGTGAGAGTTTGAATATTTCGACTATTTAACAGAGTAATCACATTAATTGCTCGCTCGTAATTTCAATTAAAAAACAAGTGGCAAACAATTATTCAATGATTTCAGTTTGACCGAATAGAGATTGCTGGAAATTCAATTCGACGAACTGAAGTGAATTCCATGTAATCGTTGAGTGCTGACGATTTATTAATCATTTATAAAAAATTGTCAGAGGGCACCATTCGGTTATTTCGGTTATTAACAAACAATTAACGATGGCTTTCAAACAGGACGTAAAATTACTGATGAAACCGTATTATTTAATTAATATTCTCCTCAGTCTGTCGTATATTGTTGTGAAAAAAATTGCATTCATCTGTGAATTTGTTTTTAATGAGGCTGAGTGTGAGTTGGAAGGGGTATGTATGAATAATTATTAATTGCAATGATCGAGGGATTTTTTGAGTGGAGAATAATAGGGTATTTTTCATTGTCAGAGGGAGATTGAGATCCTTTTCTTCTTGGTGATCGTCATATCCTTCAGGACGAGAAAGGCTGGGAGTGTCACGATGATTAATTACTTGTCCTCTAGTTTTGTTTATACCAAAGTTGCTAATCTTCTTCTGTGGTTACACGCTGATATTCGAGGTGGCATTTTGTTCGCTATCATTATCACTCGTGAGTATTTTGAGATGATGAACATTAGTAAATAATAAAATAATCACAGGCATTACAAACAATTCATAAAACATAATCAGTTTGTGGCCTGGTCCTACCTGAGCCCACGTACCAGGGCCCCGAGAATATAACGTATCTGAGAGGTGCAACTGGCCTCCAGGAGGAATTAAACAGGGACACAAGAGTTGTCTGGATAGTGGCATTCTACACAGCCTGGAACCCAGCATGTGTCAATTTCGCCCCAACGTTTTCCCAACTGTCAGCTGAGTGAGTCTTTTTCCCTTCTGATCTCACGAAACGAATGAGAATTCCTTACATTTTTTCTCTCCTTACTAGATATGGATTGGAAAATTTGAAATTCGGAAAAATCGACATTGGGAGGTATCCAGATGTAGCAGCAAAATATCACGTCAGTGATGCCAGTACGAGCAAACAATTACCTTCGATACTTCTGTTTAAGGATGGAAAGGAAATTGAACGCCGACCTTATGCTAATAGCAAGGGAAAATTAGTCAAATTTCTGTTTTCACTGGTTGGCATCCCAAATCACATCAAATCGTTCAATTTTTTGAACAGTCGAATAATTATTCATTTCTGTGTTTTAGGATAATATAAAAGCTGCATTTGATCTTAATAATGTCTACAAAACTTGCAAGGAAAACCCCATCAAGAGAAAAGAGAAAAAAGATAAAAAAGCATAAGCAGAATATCGAAATGCTTGGGGAATATTAAGAATCACAAAATCTATTCCGAGAGCAAAACACTAGCTGAATAATTCTATAAATTATAGGTATTTGTTCGTGTTCACAGTGTGAATGATAATAAAACTCGGTTTTCTGTAATTTCACATTGACTGATTCATCATCAATCTTGACGTTTTATTCGCTCAAAATAAAGATAATAATTGCTCCATTATGATACATTGAGTCTAGTCTTCAGTAGACATTATCTCACACAAACCAAATGCTTTTATTTCTTTCAAACAAAACAGAATCAAGCCATTGTACATTTTATTCTTTCAATAAGGAATATAAAGTAATTTATGAGTAGATTTGAAGTGATGGCAATTTATACATTTGTCCTCCCATAAGTTAAAAAAATCTAACAATCAATTTTCATTAACAAAAAAAATTCACGAGTCATCAATAAATTACGAGATTTTTATCGTAAAAAAAATTTCACCAACCAGTAATTTTTTTTCAAGTCTTCGATTATTTTTTCTGAGATATTCAGAGATAAATTCAATAAAATCGTTTTATATCACTAGATTTTTTTCGCCCATCACACTGGAGGCCACATAGCCGAAAGTTCGGGATGTGCAGCCTCAGGAAGCCACTTCTTGTAGCTTTGCAGTAAAAATCCTCTATCCTCTCCCCAAACCTCGATTAGCCTTTCCCTGTTCATAACACCCTTCGCAAGTAAACTCCTGGTGATTCCCTCAGTCCTGGGTAAAAGTTTAGCCCACGACTTGTTGATACAACTGGGATTCGACAATAAGACCTTAACGAACCTTTGGAGTTTTCCACAGACTTTTCCCTCCAGTAAAAACCTGGCGAACCACCTGACAGCTTCAATTCCCTTCGGGTACTCAATCTCCATAATAGGTAGCTCCCACCCAGCCCTTCCAAATGTCCCCCCGACATGACAGAGAACCTTTCCACTGGTCTCGTCCCACCTGGGGGAAGGTTCAACGAGGGGTTCCCCCATCCTGCACAATCCAGGGACAAATTTTGGAAGCCACTCAGCCTCAATAGCAGTCACTCCCCGCATATAAATTTTATTTGTCTCATAAATCTCCTGATATACCACCCATTCAGGAGCTGTCCTTCTCAGGACACAACTCGTGTGCATGAACACTGGCTCCTCCATCTCCATCGTCTTGTAGGCAAATCTGAATTTCGACCTGTCCTCATCCTTCACTTCCTCTGGGGACATTTTCCTGGCGACCTGATCAGCCATTCCTGCGAGAACAATCTGTCTGAGAAGTTTAGCTTCGTGGTCTGTGGGAGGCAACATCCTGGGATCGATGCTGACGCCCATGCAAGGGATATTCAGGGAAATCTCATTGGTTAGCTGATGTCGCAGCTTTTTTACTTCCCCAATGGCCTTTGGACGAATTCCATTATCCTCGCAGAACGCCTGGAGCTTGCCACTGGCTTCTGAGTACTCAGCAGCTCCAACTGCTCGAATCAGGACCATCGGATCTCCCAGGAGAAGATTGTTCCCAGCTCCCGCCCAAAATCTTCGAGTTTGTAACCACTTCTTCGAGGAGTTTTTGTCATCGGGTGCACTCTCTCCTGCAGATCTACCGTCGATCAACAGTTCCTGCACCGACAGCGCTGACACCATGCAGATGGTGAACCTCAGAAGATTCTCCTGCTGGGAAATTGCGAGCATTTTTGCGAATCTCGGAGCCACTGGGAAGGCTGACATACTCTTTCCCAGTTTCGTCACTTTTCCAGAGTACTTCTCACCAGAATCCTCAAGGGCTCCCAAGATTCTCAATCTATTCTCCGCAGTCACCAATTGAGTGGCATCTGGAGGCGAAGGAAATGGAAAATTCACTACCTTGACGATATTCATGACCTTCATCTGCAGGAGAAGATCATCGACTGGTTTTCTCTGGATCTCAGGGACCGAGAATTTCTCGAATTGATCGTTAAAGACTGCTGACGAGTAAAGGCGATAGCAGTGGCCAGGACCCATTCTCCCAGCCCTACCTGCCCTCTGATTTGCACCTGCCTGACTGGTGTACGTGACCCTGAAGGTGCTCACCCCAGTTACCTTGTCGTACATCCTCGTCTTGCAGCGTCCACTGTCCACCACGTACTTTATATTTGGAATTGTGAGTGACGTCTCAGCAACGTTCGTTGATACAACGCACAGCCTGCACCCTTCTGGCACCGGCTGGAACACCCTGGCCTGCTTATGGGCAGGCAACAACGAATACAAAGGCAGAACCCACATGGGTTGGGACGTGGTGACGTCATGCAGATCTAAAGCAAATTCGTCATCCTCCTCGTCGGCGTCGAGGTGAATATCCTCGTCCTCAGAGAAGAGATCCTCCTGGGTATCATCCGTGGGAATCGATGAGTAGTCGTCCAAATTAATCGCTGGCAAATCCTTCGCAACTGCTTTTGATTTTAACTTGCGTTTCAGTCGACTCAATGCACTCTCAGGGTGAAAATTCTCATCCTCATCTGTACCATCGTGATCCTCTGATTCTCCTTCTTTATCTTGGTTGTTCCCTTCATTTCCTCCCCTTTTCTGCACTGCCTCTTTTGCACCCTTCCTCTTCTCCCATGTCTTCTTCCTGTAAGGGAACGTTTTCCTCAGCTTCCTGACAACAGTATTTACCTCGTGCTGTCCAGTAAGAAAAATAAGAATTCCCCCTTCAGGCAATTTCGTGTGGATCTTCACAGCTTTCTTAACAGAATCCACAACATAATTCTGACTAGTTCTCCTATTGAAATGAATTGTAACGGGAAACTGACGAGAGTCAACCCTGAGCAGTGGAGGTTTCACCTTGAAAAGCCGAGTGTTCTCCAAAAAATCCTCGACCCTCAAAGTAGCTGACATAACAATCAACTTGAGAGGATCATTTCTCTTGGCCCTCATGGGGACAATCCTGGAGAGAAGTCCAATGAGAATATCCGTATAAACACTTCTCTCGTGTGCCTCATCGAGAATAATAACGGAGTACTTCCCCAGGAGAAAATCAGACTGTACCTCCTTCAGGAGAACTCCATCAGTCATGAATTTGATTTTAGTGTCTGATGTGGTATTTCCCTCAAAACGAATGAGATAAGAGACCTCAGAGTTTGAGAGATTCATCTCCTCGGCGACTCGTTTGGACATGGAAATGGCAGCGACTCTTCTGGGTTCAGTTATACCAATCATCTTGGTCCTGGCGTATCCTGCCTCGTAAAGGAACTGAGGGACTTGTGTTGTTTTACCACTGCCTGTCTCTCCAGTTATTATAACCACCGGGTTCTCATTTATGGCTTCGACGATCATCTGCTCCTCTGCGAGAACTGGAAGCTTCAGTCTGGCTTTTTGGATATCTGGGGTGCGATTTAGAGAGACGAAAACAGCTGGTTTACGATCTGCATGTGGTTCCAGGAGTTTTCTAGAATTTATTGATGCTGAAGAGGTGTCTGGAGAGGCTGGTGTAATCCCTGGAGATTTTGGAGAGGAATTTGCAGATTTAGAAACTTCTGGAGACGCTTTTATTAATTGTAAGGCCTGAGGAGAAGATTTAAGAATTGTAGAATCTTCCGGTGAAGATTCATCCTCACTTGAAACATCGTCGTCACTCTCTGATGCCTCGTAACCGATGACATTGGGATCTGAACTCTGTGGTGATGATTCTTGTTGTAATGCCTGTAGCCTCTGCTTTTTACTCCCTTTAATTGCATTTACTATCTCTTCTGTATCGTCCTCATTAGGAATTCGTGGGGATTTCAATTTGTGAGAGGTATCCTCATCTCTTTGACGTTTAAGACCTTTTGTTTGCACGCAAGTGATGGAGACGTATTGCTTCAGCTCCTCTGGAGTTGCCTGGACTTTAGCCAAATCCTCCAGGAGAGTCGCCCTCTTCTGCTTTTTCTCCTTTCGTTCCAACACTTTCTCCAGGTGTTTGCGCTGCTTTTTGGAGAGGAGTTTCACCTTTTGCGGATTTTTATCCTTTTTGATCGTTTTTCGTTTTTTACTGGGCAGCACTTGAGTATTGCACTCATCGTAGTTGTCTTTTCGGTGGTTCAAATCGATGGAAATGTCTTTGCAAGTTTTGACGTCGATTGTCACCTGGGGAACACTTCGTGCACGCCAATTGTAGCCTTTTTTGCCCATTTTAAATTAATTACAAGTGATTAAATAGGTACGTTGGGTATCGAACTCTTTATTTTTTATTTTAGGTGGCTTTACTCACTTTGATATTTACTCTTGTGGGGGGAATATGAATTGGTTTTGGGGGTGGTTGTATCATTTCATGGATTTTTTAATTAATTAGAAATTAGATATTATTGAGGAGTCGACTGCTTTTGAGGGATTGAGAAACGGGATTTATAGTTTTCTTAGGATGATGACAATTTTTTTAACTATAGTTTTGAATTGAAGAATTTCTTTCGTCTTCACACTGGCTGTATTTATTCTTATGTGTTTTATTATTTAAGAGAAGAGTGTTTATTATCTCGTCTAGCGGTTTATTGTTGCCACTTTCACTCGGACAATTGAGAGAAACGAACATGTGAGTTTGGACTCGAACATAACCTCAATTTTCGTAGAAGAAACCTGTCTTATTGATACTCACGTTTCCTCAAAATTATCTCTGATTTTACTGATAATGGTTTTATACAGTCTCGAATCGCAGACCCATAGGAAATGGTACTCACTGAAATTTAAAATTTTATGGAGTCACAAGTGACTCCATAAAATTTTAAAGATAAGAAAATAACATGAGGCAGTTACCGAGTCGGCTGACGGGCAGACACCCCCATTGCGTGTGGCGCCCTCCCTCTCTTGGGGTGCAGTATTACGATGCCGCTGGGGTTACTCCAACCCCCAGAACTCAGCTATTTTAGGGAATCCTCTTTGGGTGGAAGTGTCAAATTGTAGAAAAATGACAGCAAAATCTATACCTGAATCGTCCCCTGACCTCGACTGGATAAAATTGAGGGAAGAGATGGACCATGGGATTTCAGATGAAACTATGACCGAAAAAATAATAAGAAAGTGTAAACTTCAACCACTCGTACCTATCGGTGAGCATAACCTCTCAATAACTGTTTTTTTTTAATTATTCACGGTTTCGTTATCATTTGCTATCACCATTTGACAATCTATCAATCGAATGATTGCTGAGTACTCAATGTATCTATTTATCTTTGTTCAAATATCGATTAGAACCCTACATTTTTCCAGTCCCTAATTGATTCTCAGCAATTGATAATTCCATTAAATTCTTCGTCCAGGTTGTTTGGCAACAACGACAGCTCTGGGATTTGGATTCTGGACGTTAAAAACAGGCGATAGATTAATGTCCCAGTATATGATGCGAGCACGTGTGGTAGCCCAAGGATTTACTATTCTAGTTGCTGCTATTGGGATGATAGCAGCTTCAAAAACCTCACAATCCGAATAAAATTCGTGCAAAAGATAATTATATTTTTTGTGAATGGGAATCACACCCATTCTAGGATTCCCTGTAAATACTAGATAAATGTATCACATACATTAATAGAATTGAGTAAGTGATAACAAACACCAGGGGAGTAATGGTTATTATATTTATTATAACACATCGGTTAAACGTTTTTTACATTTTTCCAAATGGATTTCTCTGCCGAAGGTTAATATTCACCAATAAAAATCTCTAATTCATCTCTTAAATATTAGGATCAATCTATATTGCTACATTGACTCAACCGTTTGATAATTCACGGTTCAAACGAGATGAACATCCTCACTCGTTATAATATACAAAAATGAAAACTCAGAAGTCACAAAATTCCAATTCAACGGGTGTAAAATCTATTTTTTGTAAAAAAAATGTAATTGTTACTCTGTAGGGAATGTAGGGAAATGAGTTTTTGAGAATACTCTGAAAATTATAGAATTGAGAGAATGATTTGTATTGACTATTCTCTCAATATTATTCATTAACGACTAATTCGACTATTGATTTAAATTCTTCATTAAACATCAAATTATTGTCGAATGCTTTTTTAATTGAATGACAAAACGTCTCGAACATTTTTCTTTCGATATTCTGCTGGAAAACCATTTTTCGTTCTTTTTTCTCTCAAAAAATATCTCAAAACCTCTCATCTCCCACTCCACTAATTCATCATTAGATTGTCAATCATTACGACCTGAAATTTTCTGGAAATAAAAATTTCCATCATCTAAAGTCAACCCCTACTCTACTGGAGAACAATTAGAGAATAATTCCTGAAACTTGAAAAATCCCGGAATACCGAGAAAGAATCCTTAATTCAACCAATCAACATTAAATCAATCAATCAAATGAATATGGCGAGAGGATTAAATCTACGAATGAATAAATCATCAATCAGATCTCAATTTAGTCGATCGATTCAGTCTTGGGGGAGAAAAATGCAATGAAATATTTCAGGATATTTCTGAACCTTGGAATTGCATAATTGCATCGTTATTATAATTTTCATTAATTTGAGTATTATCGTGGCTCACGAAAAGCTGGTCGAGATTATCTACCCTCAAAACTGCTTATTTTAATCATGATGCTTATTGGAAAATGGCCAGTGAGATTTAATGGCAGCAGCGCTCAATTTTCTTGAGCCACTGGTGCTGTGGGATCGAGAGCGATGACTTGGGGGACTGTTTGAGCTGCAGCTGCTCAAACTCGTGCTGGGAGTCAGGCCAAAGATCTCCTGAACTGTTGGCCTCGAGTGGGATGTGTAGTCCGATTGGACCGACTCAATCAGAGGTGTCTCATCGTACAGAGATCCTTGTCTCTTGCTGCTTATGAAGGAATTTCGTGCACTCTCCATGCAAGGAACCTCTTGGACTGTCTCAGCTGCATGTTTCCATCTCTCGTGATCCTTCGAGTGAACTGTCAAGTGCCTCAACCACTTTTGAGCCTCTTCTGATGACTCAAACTTTAGGATTGACGGCTTCTCCGTGCCCTCTGACGTGTTAATCACTTTTACCTCTTTTTGACATTTCGTGGGCTGAATTGACGTCTCCTAAAAAAAAAATCATAGATTACTTTTTTGCGGCCATTCTATCACTTATGAGACTAACTACAATTGTTTACGTGAAGAAATTGTGAAATTTATTTCTTTTTGTGTTACAACCCGTCTCCATGAAATTAAATGAATTCTTCTTGCCAATGAGTGTATTGTCTGCATTAGGCAGCACAATCTACTCGTCCGCCATCAATTCCATCCAAGTGATGTCATCAACTTTATCAATGACCATTAGAATACAATTGACATATGATTGAAACCATTATCTCCTCTAATCTGTCCTCTTTACACTTTTCATTCAGTATTTATTGTTACTTTAAAATAACTTGACTTCTTCCAAAACTTTTGAAAATTCTTCTGAGAAGAAATATATTGGATGATTTTTTTTAATTTTTTGTCGATTGCATTCAATTCCACTCACGTGATGCGATGAAAATTCGTTATCCTTCATTTCCATACTCACTTTATTGATCGGTATCGTAAAAATCGGATTCTGCTCGCCCTCAGCCAATTTCCTCGACTCCCAGCTCTGAATATTAAAATTTTGGAGACGAGCCCAGCAGTCCCTCCCATTGATATTAACACTTCCTGTTGTAATTTCTTTCGTCATGCAGTCGGGTTGTGCAGCTAGACGACAGCAGAAGTGTCCGAAGAGTGGTAGAGCATGATGTTTATTCTCGAGATTATTGATAACTAAATCGTGCGTGTGGATATTCTCGTCTGTGTCATCTAGAGTCAATTTTGCAGAGGCCATGAGCTCAAAATGGGGACCGATTTTTCCCGAGTTCAATTCGTCCCGAAGAGATGCTGCCAATTTTTTTCCGACTGTTTTGGAAATCGAGGAGTGGATTGTACGTTTGATCCTGCGAGGAGTACTCGCGATACTCAGGTCTTCTTGGAGGATGTGACTGTAGATTTCTAGTGTCAGTTCAAAATCTGCTGGCACATTATTGCTGAAAATTTTGATCATGTATTACAAAAAATTTTACTGCGCCCCAAAATCCACAGATAATAATTTCAATAAATTTTTTCTGAATCGCAAATGGATTTTGAAGTATTTTAAGTATCGATCTGGCAGGAATTATCGACTTACAAGAGTAGAACATCTGGAAATGTGATATCAGTAAGGGCCCGATCAACGGGACAGAGTAAAGCAGTGTCATGTATTTCAGTGCCAATTCGCGCCAGGCAAAATACAGCGAAACGTCTGTAGTCACCGCGATTTTTAAAATGATCAGAGTCCCTCCACATCAGTGGTACTCTCAGCTCAGAGAGTGATACCCTTGCTGTGCTCGCAGGATTGCTGAAAATTTATGACACCCGAAATCAGTACAAGGTGGAATTTGAAGAATTACTGATGGATAATTACTCGAAGAATGATTTATGCACCTGGGTTTACTGATGGGTTCCTTTTTACGGCGTTGCAACTCAGCCATATAAGCGGACATCCTCTCGTTTGATGTGAGAAGAGCCCTAGCAGCTTCCAGACTCTGAGCTCTATGTCTCGCCGCTGCCAAAAGTCTCGCCGATCCCTCTCGCATCTTAATCTCCACCTCGATCTTCTGCTCGAGATCATACTCCTGAAAAAACACAAAAAAAACAACACTGAACAAGTTTGTCTCGATTATTCAATTTTTTAATTCAATTTTTCATTCTATTTTTAATAATTTTATGGATTTAAAACTCATTTCAAGGAATTCTACATTGAGAGAAAATATCAGTTTTTGAAAAAGTGGGAAAGCCTAGAAATTATTCATGTTTAGAATCAGGAGATGCGTCGTTAGACAAAGAAAAAGTTTATTTTTCGGATAATAATCCAATAGTTTCTAATGCGGTGTCTATGATTTTAGACAGTCAACAATTAATTAATAATTAATTCCCACTCTACCAATCAAAATGAACACATGCACATTACCCCGCACTCCCCAATTTCTCAGTAATTTTCACCTATAACAATTTTGTTGGACATAATTTTATCGTCAAGACTTGATATTTCTCTCAATGCACAATTCGTCCCCATCAAGAATCCAATCAACACCGGAAGATCTAACCAGGTGTTTGGGATACACGATCAGTAAATGCATTGTTGTCGATAAAATCACGAACGTGGTGAGAAATAATGAACCAATTGCAAGAAGTTCAGTTCGAGAACTGAGGGCTCCCAACGAAAGAGTGAACGTGCCAACGCGAGTGAATGTGAAGTCCGCTAATACAGTGAAATAAAACCACCTGTGAAAGAAAAAAAAAGTAATTCCGGCAAAAATGCCATCCTCAGCTTAAATAAATAAATTCCCACCCGATGGAAAGAAAGAGTGGCGTGACACTCAATGTGACACCTGAATTAAGTTTATGGTGCGAGTCATCAAAAATTTTATTCTGCTCTTCGTGCGGTAGTTTTGTGTAGGCTAAACCTGGACCATTTCTCATAACTTCATTCATTCCATTCTTCATCAATCCATTCATTATGCCATTGTTTAATTCTCCCACGAGTGATGTGGAAATGTTGTTCTACGATTTTGCGATTACGCATCGAGATGTAGAGACTGTTTGGCTCCGATTGCACCGGAAATCATCGGTGCGAGACATTTCCAGTAACACAGGATTAATCGTGTTATGTATTCGATGATATAATGTGATAGTGTGTCATTTTACTGAAAACTGTCGGGTAAGACCGAGTGCATTCAGTCTATCAGTCAAATTCACTGATTTTTTAAATTCGCTGTCTCCCTTAGTTTCAGAGAAATCCTTGATGAAGTCACGAAGAGATAAGTCGGCTTATCTTGGTGTGCCACTTCACTACTCAATTCATTTCAAGAATTTTTCTGCAACTTCAGAATGATCCGATTCATCCAAATAATGCACTAAGAGGAAAATCGACATGTCCAATAACCTATATTATTTATAAAAAAAGGATTATCACTCTGGAGGCTGACTTGTGGATTTGCGAGAGGGAGAAAGAGTGAAAAGTGACTCTTTTCCAGCATTGAATAATTTCGTTATGGCTGGGAGTAAAGTGTTGATTTAAATGAAAAAATCATAAAGCAACTATCATCGAATGCTCTCACGGTGCACCAGAAATACGATCCTATTTACTGAAAAACCAGTGCATCAGCAAAAGTATGGGTGGGCACGTGTGGTAAATGCCCTCTGGCCTATCTCCATTGACCACCCAGTGATTTATTTCTTGCCGCCACAAAAAATATATATATATATATATATATATATATATATCGACCGAATCCAAAAGAAAGAGCTCAAGATGACAGCCTTCACCGAGACGGACAATTTGTTTTTACTGCCTCACCCGAAGCTCAGAGTGTGATTGAGATTCTGTTCAAGAATCCCCAACGCATCCTGAATGGCATATCACCTCGAATACCAATGGAATGACAGTTTTCAAATGGAAAGGTGAGTCCAAAAATTGTTCCGTCAGGATGATATCCACAATCTCATGATATTCATGAAACTCTCCACAAATTTCGCTCAACTCTCCACCTAATCCTGAAAATTACTCGTCTACCGTAACCGCTGTGTCGAGACACTGGAATTTTCCAATTTAAAAAATGCATTCTACCTGTGACATAAAATCCTGGTGGAAAAAATATTTGAAAAGATGCATTCCGTGAAACGTAAGTGGTAAAAACTCATTTGAAGACGGAAATGAAGTGATGAAGAGATTTTTTATTGCTGTGAAAAATTTGAGGTGAAAAGGTCTTTCAATATATTTTTTTCCGAAAACCTCGTTCTTCGAAACTATTTCGGATTCGTTCCCGGATTTGAAGCAGTAAACGCTTGATGGACTTTCTTTCATAATTATTATACATGGACTTAAAAAATAAAATAACATTGAATAAAAAAATGAATGCGGATTTTTTAAAAGGGGCAATGCAAGTTAAAAATGACAATCTTATGATTCTATTAAGGAGTTAAAAGAAATGAGAATTTCTCGTTATTGTTACAAATTCCCTTGATTTTTATATGAAAAAAAAAGCAATTTCCCAGTGACTTTCAATCAAGAACGGGCCTTTTTCCCCAGAGTGCATAAAAAAAAGTCTTTACAAAATGGTGACAACACTCAGGTGATAATTCAAAGCTGAGGTAGTGGTAAAAGTGCATTATGACTGAGTGTTTGTACTCTTCCGATATTGTTTGTCTCAAAGTACTCGACGACACGTTTAAGAATACACATGGTGTAAGGGCACCGACCCCACAAGTACAGTATGAAGAGGAAAATCTCGTAGTCACTCGTCACGTACAAAAATATACGGTTCATATCTCTTTTTCCACCTCTGAATTTTAAATAAAACGATATGGTAAATTTAATCTGTCCTAAAGTTGACGTCAAGGGGTTCTTCTCTCATTTATCTGCCCTTTTTTCATCTCTCTTCGTTATGGTATCGGTGAAGACCCAAGACGTTTATGAACACAAGAATAACAGAGAAAGGGAGTCAACCAGAAAGAGAGGGAATTAAATCTGGATGTGAAACAAATTATCTGCGTGTGGTCGAAGACTTGCCATGAGGGATTAAGGAATTACTCCCGATATTTTCTAATTCTTCATGTTATTTTGCAAATCCTGAAAACGCCTCGATCGATTTTTTATTGAATTCTGCAATTGGAAACCTGAAATTTTTAATTTTTAATTCAATACTCATATTTTTAATGAGGAATTGCTTATTCACAAGACATCTGCACTGAAATTGTTGAATTGTCACAGGAACAAGTCATACAAAAAAAGTAATTGTGGAATGTTTTTCATAAACTCTCTCCTCGCATTCTTTATATAATTACCTCATTAACGAAATAAGATAAGGATTAATTCGAGAATGGAATGAACAGATGATGATGTCAACTTTATTAAAAAACATTATCGCAATAACGGATAGAACAAGAGATATTCGGATCAGTAAACACACTAGGAAGTACTCTCGAAAGTTGTTTGAACAAGAAAACTTAAATCCATGCGAACATTCTATCCACAACAAAGAAGAGATTCCCAAGTTTAATCCCTCGTGGCTTTCAGCCAATCGCCATTGTTTTCAATACTGAGCAATTGTCTCTTTTTTGGTTTAATCAATCTATTGAAAAATCCTATAAAAAATCGTCTCCATATCATTTAAAGAAATTGACAGATTTATTTTTCTCCTCGAAATATCGCGTCAAACTTTAAAACACGACCTTTTATTTATTAATTTTCATCAATTCTATTCACAAATTCTCACAAATACCAGAAGGATTTCGACTTTTTTCTAATTATTCTTTGAATTCGTCAGGAAATTGTTAAAAAATAGAAGGTATGACAAAAGTACAAAATATACTCAATTCAGGTGAAATTTTTTTCGTGCAAAATTAATTTCTGGTGGAAATTCTTTTCAGGGTTATTGATTAGTTCCTAAAGAGTTAGGGGTTATGTTAGTATTTTCTTTACCTTCCTCAAAGGTCTGGAAATTATCAAGGTCGACGCCAAGAGCCCCATCGTGTTATGCATGTTCATGATTGTCGATTATCAAAACACTAAAACGAATATTTGAGTTTAAAAAAAATCCTCGAATGCATGATCATTCTTGTTTCAGTAATCCCTTCATTACTTTAATTAAGGAAAAGGGTATTGAGTCCATCAATAATGAGGATTAATTGTTTTTGCAAAAAAATCAACTGCAGTGAAGGGGATGCTTTTAATTATCTAGAGAAACCATCAGGGCATTTGCTTGTAAAGACTGGGATTTCCTACTCAAATGAACCCTTGAACTCCTTCATTCCTCAAATAACTCCCCAATTAAAGAAGATTACAGAGATGACGAATTAAGACTAAAAATAACCACCGAATGTAAATCAAGTGAAAATGGGAGAAATGGGAATAATTTTCTTTATCATTGGCTATTTCATCATGGAAATTCAGTCCTCAGGCTTGGACGCCTGAAAATGTGAGCACGATTCGATCAATTACTCGAATGAAAATTTGGAGGGTGCTGCGTTCGAAGACTATTTCCAAAATTCCAAAAATTTTGAATTCAACGTTTTGTGGATGGCATATAATGCGTCAATGTATCAGACATGAATTTTAATTGAAAGGTCAGCATTGGCCTCGAGGAATGTATTTGATATTCTCGACAGACTGATTAGTCCACAGGCGATTTTCCAAAGCGGATCCTGTATCGTATAATTGACCAATCAGAACATGATCAGCTGGTGTTGATTTTCTAGTACATTTTCTACATCCAGATTCACTCCCCTTTCCATTTATAAATTGTATATGTCACGAGCACGTGTTTCATTGAAACTGAATTTTCGGGAGGAGCGAAATAAAAATCTCATGGGGCAGTGGAAAGTTGGTTGAGAATGAAAATCAATCTCGTAAGAGTGAACTGAATTTATTATTTAATGGGTTTAGCATCGGATTAGGAATCAATTCCTTTAATTGCGAACTAGTGCAGTGGAAATTTAATTGGAGTGATTTCGGGCAATTGAAGTGATGAAACATCGAACGTTCCAGATTTATTACTGATGCAATTAGGCGGGTAATTAATGTGGAGAGCTTTTTCAAATTGATGATAAGTTTTCACACCAATTCGAAATGATT